CACTGAAAAACCCAACTCGTCAAGAATCGATCGTAGCCAGATAATCTCACATGTGCCAAGTGCCAATGCTCGATACTCTGCCTCTACGGACGAGCGGGAGACAACTGTCTGCTTCTTGCTCTTCCAAGAGATAAGATAAGTCCCTCGAAAAGCACAGAAACCCGTAGTAGATCGACCATCACATGCTCCCCCATAATCTGAATCTGAATAGCAGGCTAGAGAACCGGTCTGAGATCCTGATGCATAAAACAACCCAAGTCCAGGACAAGACTTGAGGTACCGAAGAATATGATAAACTGCATCAAGATGAGGCTGACATGGCCTATGCATGAACTGACTAACTCGGCTGACTGCGAATGAAATGTCCGGCCTAGTATTGGCTAAGTAGATAAGTCTACCTACCAATCTTTGATAAACTGTCGGATCTTTCAACTCCTCACCTTCAGCAGTAAACTTCAGGTTTGGAATTATAGGTGATAATGCCGGTTTGCACCCCAACATCCCAGTGTCTGAAAGAAGATCCAAAACATACTTTCTCTGAAAAAGAACAATACCTCTGCTTCTACGGGCAACCTCAATCCCAAGAAAGTATCGCAGAAATCCAAGATCCTTCACATCGAAGGCCTTCCCAAGGTCTATCTTGACCTGCGCAGTCCCAGAAACATCATCACCAGTAATAATAATATCATCAACATATACCAGAAGGATGACACACTGTCCAGAAGTATTCCGTCGAATAAAGCAGGTATGATCAGAATGACACCTGGTGAACCCCAATCGTATGACTACATCACTGAAGCGAGAGAACCAGGCTCGTGGCGACTGTTTCAGTCCATAAAGAGACTTACGCAGTCGACATACCTTTCCAGCATACTCCCCCTCACCACGAAAGCCCGGTGGTGCATCCATATAAATAATCTCGTCCAGATCACCGTGAAGAAACGCATTCTTCACATCTAATTGACGAAGAGGCCAAGAGTACTCCGCAGCCAGAGAAATAATTAACCGAACAGTAGTCAATTTTGCCACGGGGGCAAATGTAGCACCAAAATCACGACCTGGTACCTGAGTAAAGCCTTTCGCCACAAGTATAGCCTTGTAACGATCAATAGTACCATCTGCCAGAAACTTCAGGGTGTAAACCCAGCGACAACCAACAGGCTTCACCCCTGAAGGTAAGGAGACAAGATCCCATGTATGATTACGCTGAAGAACGTCCATCTCTGTCTGCATGGCAAGAACCCACTGGGGCTCCCGCATAGCTTCTGAAATAGAGCGAGGAACCAGCGTATCTGATAAGGCCATAGTATAAGCTCGAAATGTGGGAGACAGATTACCATAAGAAACATAAGCAGAGATCGGATATAAAATCTTGGCGGTCCAACCATATCGATCAACTGGACGGCGATCACGCCTTGGATAACGACGCTCTAAATCACCATCCTCTACTGATAATATCTTATCAGGTAAAGTAACTGGCTCAGCACCTGTAATCTCATCAGTATTAACAACAGGTGCATCAATATGCTCAACAAACTGAGAAGTATTACCTGCATCGCCTGAAGTAGAGGGGATATCAGCAGGGTGATGAGAGCGAGGACAACGAGCATACATCTGCAAAGGAAGAGAGACTGGTAACTCTGTACTGACAGGGATGAGTGACTCCTTTGGAGGAAAAACGGATGACCCTGTAGGGATAGTGATCAATGACTCTGACTCTTGTGGTAATGGAAAATCAAAGGGAGTATCATCAACTGGAGGGGCAGACAAAGGACTGAAAGGAAAATAAGGAATATGCTCAAGAAATGTAACATCTAGACTGTGATACATACGACGCCTAATAGGATCATAACATCGATACCCCTTAGATTGATGACAATAGCTCACAAAGATACAACGAATCGCTTTATCATCAAGTTTATGACGAGTAGGAGACCGATCCTGAACAAAACATGTGCATCCAAAAACACGAGGGGGGACCGGAAAAAGTGTCCGCTCAGGAAATAAGACCTGTAAGGGAGCCTTATGCTGAAAAATACGACTCGGTGTACGATTGCACAGAAAGGTAGAAGTCAAAACAGCAAAATGCCAATAAGATTTTGGTACCCTCATGCCTCTAAGCAGACAACGTACCATCCCTATCAAACTCCTATTTTTCCTCTCAGCAACACCATTTTGCTCAAAAGTATATGGACAAGTGAGTTGCTGAAGGATACCCTGAGAAGAAAGGTGAGACACTAAAGCATCAGACACATATTCTTTGGCATTATCCGAACGAAGAGCACGAACAATGACATCGAATTGTGTCTTAATCATCTGTAAAAACTGAGTGATTATAGGGAGCACATCAGACTTTCTATGCAAAAGGTAGACCCAAGTACAACAAGTATGATCATCTATAAATGTCACATAATATCTGGCACCTGACAGAGCAGTAACGGGAGAGGGTCCCCAAATATCAGAGTGTATTAGGTCAAATGACTTGGGTGACTGGTGCATGCGAGGAATATAATTGGCCCTAACATGTTTTGATAGGGAACAGATAACGCAATCAAGTTTACCACCAACACAAGCATTACTCAAAGCAGGAAACAACATACAAATCGGTGGATGGACAGTCACGCATGGGGTTGGTGGACAGGCAGTGGGTTGCTGGTTTTGGTTCAGCGGTATGGAGTCGGTGGCTGTCACAGGTTGCTGGTTTCGCTGGTATGAAGCAGATTTTGATTTCAGTCGGTGGAGACAGGCTGGTCAGTTGGTTTGTGGTTGCTGGTTTTGCTGTGTAGGCAGTCGGTGCTTTATGGAGGCAGTGGGTGCAGTGGGTGAGACAAGTGGGTTTGCGGCAAGGGGCTGGAAGGCAGTGGGTTGCTGGGTTTGCTTGAAGGCAGTTTGCCAGTGAGGCAATCTCGGTGGAGGCTAGGTTAGGGAGAAGGTTAGGGTTTGAGGTAGGGTTAATGTATGGCTTTGATACCAACTTGGAATAAACGTAAGTGAAAAGGGATACTCAAATTAAGAGTAGAGCCCCGTATATATATCCAAAAATAATACAGAGTGACTTAAACATCCTTGTAGTTTAGGCAAATATAAAAATCTTAGTAAGGGTAAAAAAGGGAAAAGAAATCCTAATAAACCTAGACTATCTATACTCCAACAGTTTCTATTTTAGATAGGTTTCCACAACTTCGTCTATGTAGTCACACAAGATCAAAATGGAATGGAATCAAGGTAGGAATAAATAGTATCATTCCAATGGTTGTCAATAACTAGAATTTAAGGTTGGAATTTAATTAAAAATAGGGGTAACCCGTGTTTGAAGGCACGGTGCAATGTTAATGTTTTTGAGAAGGATATTAGCTACAGTTAGATGAGTTTATTTGAAAACGTCTGATGAACTTATTGAATATAGATTTCACTTAAATATTTAAATAAATAAATATTTGAAAATTTTTTGACCTGGACCCGACGCCCAACGCCCGACCTCAACCCTGGACAAAGACCTGACACGAACTCCAAACCCCCAACCCGACCCAGGGTGGTGGTAGCAACAAGTGATAATAGTTAAGAATAAAAAATACCATAAAATATTGGGAAATAATAAATTCTATGCTGATGGGATTAAATATTCAATAGAAATGAGAATAAATTATTATTACTATATGTCAAACATTTGAACGAACATTACTAAGTAATGGTCATTCAATTCCTATGATGTTTGGAAAACTTGAAAAATTTTGGTCAGCCATGTGGGTGGCTCTTATATGCGTTTTCGGGTCTAGTATGATTTTCTGGGTCAGCCATGTGGGTGGCTGTTTTGTGTTTTCAAGTCCGAGTGTTTTTTTTTTTTCCCCCTTGGGTCAGCTAGAAAGAATAATTCAATCCCCTCGTGGTGTCAAAAGTCAAAACATGGAAATTTGGCCACATGGAGTGCTTGAAAACCTACCTTGTACTATCTTAGAATGGAATCTATTAAAGAGATGGAGATGGAGCAAAAATTTGACTTTAGCTTTGAAATAGTACATTACAATTTGACAAATTATAAAACACCAAAGCACCATCATAATTTCTAATTTCTCCACATAATTTAAGTATTTGAAGTTCAGTAGCCCAAGGAAGACAAGACCCAACCAAAAAGAAGGGATAAGTATAGAGGAAACTAGATAAAACATCACATACAAAAGGATTACGACCTCTACTCCGGGGTTTTTTTTTGGAGGGGGGATGCCAAATCCAAATTTAAGATTGAAAAAGTCATTTTTATTGGTCGTAAAAAAAAAACATATTATTTTTAAATTTGGCGAAGCCAAGAAAGATATTTTAGCCATTCGAGGTATCCTCCATGAATGTTTTAATAAAAATGTATGTTACAAGTCCAAGAATCATAAAGTCAATAGGCTACAGGTATCAGATATTGTATTACTGGTAAATGATAACAAATTGTGTCTGTCAAGTGGTCGCAGCTCCAGTTTCGAAAAGGAGACAAAAAAAAAAAGTGGTCACAGCTTGTAATGAGAATAGGTTCACCACAGGCAGGTACAGTTTGCCTTGGAAAGCATAAAATTTAACACAGATTTTCGTTTGTTTTGATAGCTTAGGGAGGCACTCAACCACATATATAACTCCATAGTGTTCATACACAAGATGCATAATGCCTCACTTACATCTTCCTGGGTGAAGAATGATAGATCTTGCGACACATATCCAAAAAAATCAGTGCATGTTACGATCACAGAGGCACACAGGCATGCACACCAAGTGGCCGCACACGTGTGTGTGTGTGTGTACACAGAGAGAGAGAGAGAGAGAGAGAGAGACGTGGGTAATTCCAGCTCCACAAATTATACATTTCAACCACCCAGTAAAAAGTGGATTAATATTCCATACATTTCCAAATGCATCTTTCAGATTATTAACTACAAGGACTAAGCAATCGGATCCCTGTAAGCAGTGTACAACAATGCTTATGGATACATTCTTATATTCCAATTCGAAAAGGCCATCTTCTACTTCCTCATAAGAAGAACGACTGTGTGAGCCGCAATACTCCTGTTCTCCCCAAGGCTGTCCACCTTCTCGTGAGTTTTTGCTTTCAGGTTTACAACAGAAGGGTCCGCATCAAGCAGCTGAGACAAGTTGGCACGGATAGCCTCCTTGTGCGGGCTCAGCTTTGGTCTTTCAAGAATTAATGTGGCATCTAAGTTTCCCACCTCATAACCTGCCCCATGCATCAGCCGGACCTGATATAAAACGTTGCATAGGATGAATTAGATTTATGATCAACTGAACTGCCAGAAAGTACTGTCGGGTGTCTCAGATCATATTTCAAAGGAAAATGATGAACCACGTACCCACTTTTCCATATTGGGAAATAACATCTCAATCAATAAGCCCAAGTGGAATTTGAGCAACAATGCTTTTAAATGAATATCCCAATTATGATACCAAAAAGAAAACATTTACCAAAATACCAGCAAGAGGTTCTCTAACCATGTTTTCATTTTTAACATACATATATATTGGTGCGAAACAATGTACCACAGTAAGTTTGTTAACACGCTTGAATGAAGAACATAACAAAATCAAAAGATTAATAAGAGAATGAAACACTACTGGAATTCAAACACTAATTCTGTAATCTGCAAGCACCTGATACAGTCAATTCATATGGTTATACTTGGTGCCGTACATTTGTTTCTATTTTGTGATGAAAGTTAGCACCATAATTCTATCAAAAATGATGCAGCTCAATCTCTCCATTTGAAAGTGTTCGCATTGACAGGAGGCAATTAGCATACCTTATTTTCAAAAACATTTATGCTAGTGGAACAGTTGAGAGTAATCAGATATTTTCAGGGATAGAGACTCCATCTCTATGTACCTAGCTAATAACTTAGGTTTTCTCTTGTTATTGGACACGAATTATGTCTATATATAAGTCCAATTTGGGAGTGTGGCCAGAGGGAGCTTGTTTCTATGAAAGATATATAGAATTTAGGATTTTAGGAGCAGTTATCTGGTTTTCCTCTTTTCCATACTAAATTTCTTGATCGGTGGACAAAGTTTTCAGGCAAAACTACACAATGCTCCTTTTTTTTTTTCCTATGCTTGAGTTCCCCATAAATTTGCCCTCTCTTTCCATTCAAATTTGGAGTTTTTCTCTACAACAATCTTCAAAAAGAAGCAGCTTGTCATCAGTTATCACAAGAATACCTCCACTGAGCCACCAAAAACGAGACCGAAAAGAAGTTGACACTTCTGCAACTAGGCGTAGTTTGACATAGGAAAGAAAAACTGCAGCTCCCAATTCCTATTCTCCTTCATAATGACAGCTGATGGAGCTCAAGTGACAATAATAATTCACAATCCGAGTTGTAAAGACATTTGCCAAAGCACAGTTTCCCTATTAATGCAATTAAGATACATAGAACACAAATTTTGGCAATGGGTTTCACAAAAAAGAGTTTTCAAGGGGCAGATATGGGAAAGTTTAGCATGTATTAGTATCCAGATATTTCAGCCATTTAACTAAATGAAAACGGGTCAGGTCGAAGAATCTTGATGTATTGGGTCTTATACTGGGGATGACTATTTAGTAGGGCAAAAGAAATGTATTCATATTGGAAGTCTTTTGTCTTGCGCTTCAAATAGATAAAGAATCAGGGTCAGATTAAGTATGTGTATATCACTTTGGTAAAAGATATCTGCCTATGAAGAACAAGCTGTAAAAAGTTTTTTTTTTTTCTTTTTCAAATTCGTGATGCATCTTTCCCCTATTCCTTAATAATCTATCTCATCTTCCACCCATCTAGAACCTAATTTCAAATTGACTACGGACCCAATATACAATATTATATTCAAATAGCACTTTTTTTTCGATCCCTAACCAGCACGTTCAAAACTATGATTCAGTATTGCTAGTTATGAAACCAATAATTATCACAAAATGCTTGACACACGACACTTCTACAAGAATTTCACCCAAAAAGATGAGGCAATTTCATTGATGAAATACGATAGACATTGCTGATCATTTGTTTTGAAATGATAGCAAACAAATTCATCACCAGTAAGGCAGCCTCGTGCACCGGGCCATCCTTTTTGCTTTATTCTCTCTGAAAACAAATGACTGGCAGTAGATTCTGCATTTGTGGTGGCAAAAATTTATATTCTTCTTTGTTTCTAATTGTCAACTATAAAATAAACCATTTCAACCCCAACCAACCTGCCCCACCACTACCACAAAGCCAACACGCAAATTATAGAGCCCATTTATATTCTCAAATTGCCAATTTTTTATAATAATTACACTGAGTGGCAAGACTGATTAATCATGAGGACATAAGGAAAAAATTAAATCAACTAATAAATTAGAAGCAAAAAATTGATGAAAACTCACAGTTTCTTTCATGAAAATAGAAGATGCAGCCCCTTTCCATTTAGGGTCGGAGTCCGGAAATATCTGTCCAATATCCGGAAGCCCCAAAGCCCCCAAAATTGCATCAACAACACAGTGAAGCAACACGTCCCCTGAATAACCACAATCAATCATCATTCCAGTTAGTCACTCACAAGAGCAAAAAAAAATTATTCCAGAAAAATTCACATAAACACACAAACATCAGTCTAGGTATTCCTGAATAAAAGTATCATTTACCATCGGAATGAGCTTCGCAACCTCTTTCGTGTGGTATATTGACTCCACCGATGATGAGTGGGTAACCTGGTTCCAATCTGTGAAGATCGAAGCCGTGGCCTACCCGGAAGGGCAAAGACTTTGACGGAGTGGCTGCGACGGCCTCCAGATTCTCGGCTTCGACGGTTGCGGCCGACATCACCACCGCAGGCGGTGTTCTTGCTGTGAATCGGAGAGATAGAGGAGCAGTGTATCTTGTGGTGCAGGCATGGGTAGAGATTGAAGGAAAAGGAGAGAGAAAATGTTGGGTCGAGGTGGTTTTGCTGGGAATTGGGCAGGCGGAGTAGAGTGGAGTTGCCATAGCCATTTGGTCGTGGAGAAGAGAGTGTCGAAGGGTCGTGTGGTGAGTTGTCTTTGAGCTCTGTTTGTGACTTTCGTCTTCTCCCACGGCACTGCCTTGGCGTGGATCAATCTAACTCGTGTTGCACGGGTTTGGCAGCTTGGGAACTGAATACACGTGGCAGAATACGATTAATCATCCACGGTTAAATAAAGGACCACTTTAAGTACAAATTATAATATGTTATATACAAGTTCTAAGCCTTGACACAAGTTATAAAGCAGCCTTAAATTCGAATCTTGTAGTCTAAATCACGAGTGTAACGGTCTATTTTACTATTGCTATGATTGATGGTTTGGGCCTTTGGGGTCATGATCAATTGCTACTACAAATCTCTTTGTCATCCAGCTGCAAAAATTGATGCTTCCTCTGCTTATCAGAATCTCTCTAAGCATATATTTTATCTCAATTTTCTAATTGTATCCCCCAGCACTGCAGCATTCACATGTATCCAAAAGCCGACCCTGGTTCCTGAAAATGATTCCATAGTTGAGGCTATCTCAGCATATGCTTAGATCAACCTTTATCAACTGATCTTAATTATAAGTTTTAGATCTTCGTTGTATAACACAAAAATATGCAAATCTAACGCAAGTACCGACAATATTAAAAAATCTAGTTCCAGAGCATTGCAAGTGCCACACCAACTAAGGCCCTAATGCGGCCCAAAGGTACTATATTAGTAGGCTGAAGTGGGGCCTCAGTGGGGCCTCAGTGGGGTTCAAATCTGCATCCGCATAAAAACGTATCTCACCATCCATTGCGGTGTCAAAAACGAAACGCTGACAAGAATGCTTTGCGAAGTTAGCTGTCTCCCATAATATGCAAGAACTGAATACCAGAAGAACAGTAATGAACTGCGCAAAGGATGTCATGAGTTTATCAATATGCAAGAATTGAATACCAGAAGAACGGTAATGAACTGAAAAAAGCATGTCATGAGATTATCTTAATGCTGCTATGGGATTGACCCGTTGTATGCAATTTTGTTTACAAAGGCAAAATGTACAAGTCCGGCTAAGTTTACACAGCCACCACACAACTGTGACATCATGATGTTATTTACATAAGAAACTCCAAGACTCCGCAACTGTCAAGTAACACAAAGCTCAGAAGGAACCAGCATCCGAAGTAGAAGCCCTAGGATGCTTGCATCCATGATCTGGCACGAGGTTTTCAGGGGCAGCTCTTTTTGGCCTCAACTGCAAAAAAAAAAGGGGTATTGAACAGAAGAAAAGTAAAACTTTATTTAGTGTTTCTGCACACAAACAACTTGAGTCAGTGCATTGTGATGTAAATTCTGACCTTCTCTTCAGCACTCTCATAGAAGTGTCTCAGAAGAATGTTTTTGGCTTCTGAAGATATCACTGCCAAATGCATACCAAGGAATGTCGGTAACAAATACCAAAACAACAATTGTTTGATAATTGGCAAACTTGAGAAAAAATTCACATTGTAAAAGTATTTGGTCACATTTCGGTAATTAAGTTGTATCCTGACCCAACTAATTTGGGCATTCCACAAATGGCCTCTCCCCCATTGAGAGAGCACATTCTACGAGAATTGCCACCTATAGATACAGTACACCATGCCCCAATTTTGCCCTCAGACTGCATGCAGAAGAGCAACACTATGTTCTCATTTTTTATTTCTGGTTCTATTATGGGGGAAGGGGAGGCAGGAGGACAGTGGAAACATGTCGCCAGCTGTTTCTGGGTTAGCCTTCAACCAAATCTTTGAGCTAAAAGGCTTGCCAGTTAAAAATCCCAATATAAATTCATCAGACAAATTCATTTAGAAACAACTACCTAGGCAACAACATTAACTTTTGGAAGGAGTGACAGGGCATAATTCCTAATAACTCCACACATTTCAGCATGTTCCCACCGGTTTAATGTTTCTAAAAGAATAAAAAAAATCCATTTCAACTGCTAACATATGGCTCATTTTTACTGATGTGCTCGAAAAAAAATCTTCCATGGTCAACATGCCACAACAAAGAGGTATTCATTCTGGATAATATACCCGCTCACATTAATATATCCCTCAAGACTTTGCAGGGGGGCTGGAGCCTGGAGGAGTCTCACAAATAGCTTGAAGATACAGTAGCAATATAATATCAGATGAAGTCCATATAAACAATATACATTGTCATGGCAACTAAATAATCCAGCGTTTAATAATCAATTATGTCTAGGAAACAAGGAATAAGTTTATCTCCATCACCTTGATTAGGTGGCGGAAGAGTCCGATCATGAGTAGGGTGATAAGTGACAGGCGCCATTTTCTGAACACAAACAAAAGCACAAGTTCATTAAAAAGAGAACACATACAATTTGTATATCCTGTATCTCATTCCATCAAAATCATAAAGAAACAGAAGATATGCACTTTAGGTGCTGAAAAGAAAAGGCAAAAGTACAATTGACAGGAAGCAAGATCGTATTCTTGAAATCATTGCGGATCCTTATCATCCTCAAGGAAGAAAATAAACTGAGTTTTATGGATTGACAATTAGTATGTCTGAGAGCATAGGTACCAGTACTTTGAAGTTGGACATGTTTGTTGAAGCATAAAATTCAAGGGATTTTAAGAGCAATGAGCTTTCAGTCAAGGAAGTTCAACAACTAGGGGTGCAACTTGGGTTGGGCAACCCGATTTCAACCCAAGCCCAACCCGAAAAAATTAGAACTTGGGTAAGGGTTTTTAATACTTGGGTTGGGCTTGGGTCAGAAAACCACAACCCGAATTCAATTTGGGTTGGGCTTGGGTTAGAAAATCCTAACCCGATTTCAACCCGAACCGACAATTTAAAAAAAAAATTATATATATATATATATATATATAAAGTATTAGCACTAATGTTTCATTTTTGTTCTATCGTTTTCTGTTTCTCTTGTTCATTTTCATTTTTTTTTCTAACATTAACACTGTTAAAACTTTGTTAAAGTTATTGGTTGTTAATTTAGGTGAATATTATGTAATATATGTATTAGGTTTAGAACAACAAGCATATTTTGGGCTCTACCCGAACTCAACCAGAATTAAACCTGTAAAGTAACCCAAAATTAGCTCGAAATCAATAACCTGAATTCAACCCGAGCCCGCCCGAATGAAACTCGATAAGTGCTCGGGTTGAGTTCTTCAAACCGAGGTAGGATTTGGGTTAGGGTTAGAGTTGAAGATTATATACCTAGAGTTGGGCTAGGGTTGACTATCCACCCCGCCCAACCCGGCCGAGTTGCACCCCTATCAACAACTAATAGGAAAACCTTTTTTCCTCTAAAAAATCTCACAGGAAAAAGTTTTAGTGAATGTCTATCTACCACGGTAATATTAAATTTACAGTAAACTGATGATGACCTCCCAGTAAATAGGCGAAGCTACCCCCGCAAAGATAAAAACTATCCCAAGTACTACTACATTTAAACCATGGACTTTCTTTATATAAAGGGCTCCATGAAGCTTACAAAATGAACACCAAAGTGGAGCACCAATCAAAAATAGATAAAAAGATAAGGAACCAACATAATCAAGAGTAAATGTGCCAAAACATATCCCGTTAAGAATCGGTCACCTAATCATATTCTATTGCATTAGAAAATGACACTTTACATCATAATGCAATAACATCACTTAACTTTCTGGAAATAACATCACCTAGTTTCATTTCTTGGAATTACTAAAATGTTAAAGCATCTAACCCAAAATCAATTGACAATGGGTGAAGTAGCCCCTTAAGAATACAAACTAACCTTGGGTGACCATAATTATTGGATGTGGGATATAAACTCCTTTTACACCCTCCCTCACATGGGAGCCAGGCTCACACGTGAGGCTAACAAACATGCATACCAGGATCTAGACTGGATAAGAGACATGGGCCAATAACTGCTCAAGGTCCAGCTCTGATACCATGGTAAAACATCCAACCCAAAACCAACTGACAATGAATGGAATAGCCCCTCAAGTATACAAATCAATGTTGGCGGTCCTAATTATTCAATGTGAGTTATAAGCTCTCTTCACACCATCCTTCACGTTAGACTCGGCCACACGTGTGGCTAACAAACAAACAACCATATATTCCACGAAATTTAAATGGGTAAATGTCTTGCCCACTAACATATAAGTCCAGAACCTTATGAAACATATTTTCAGACAATATGTCACGGGTTTTGGTCATTCGGTATCATCTGAAAGTGCTAAAGGCACAGATCAATTACATGAATCAAAGGATATAGGTTGATGAAGTCAACGCCTTAACCACCATGATAAAGGAGACAGGATGATAATTAAAACCTTGACAAAGCAATATGGCTGCTGAATGAGAGGCCATTGTCCTTTTTTTCTCCTTTGAGGCTTCAAGGCTATGTTGCAATCCTCTAACTCACTTTGTATGCAAGAAACCCCATAGAATGCTATAACATTTATTTCCAACATAAAAAGTTGAAGATTGCAACTTTAGAAGGCATGAGGAAACGAAAGTTGGCTTATCACATGGTTCAATTCTTTACGCTTCTTCTAATCAACAATAGACCGTATCAAACAAAGCACAAAGGAAAATATGAACTCTTTATGTTGTCTACAAAATGCAATGTTTGTAAGATTATTGGATGCAATATAAAGAATTGAACAAGACTGCAACTTTAGAAGGTGTGAGGGAGTTAAAGAATACCAAATCTAGTAGTTCAATAGTTTTAAATATTTATACATCAATGACAAATCTTATAAAACAAACTTTTATGCACTTTACCAAAATGTAATCCTTCCATAATGTTTTGCATACCCTCTATGACAGTATTAACTAGCACAATGAAACCAAAATTCATCACGTTCAGCCGGGTTGGTCCATGTTCAAATAAAAGGGACGGGTTGGTCAACGAAATTAGCAAATTATTGCTCGTGTTCAGCACAAATGAACCCGAAGAAGCCCGTCAGTAAGTTGAGCCCAAGCTGTGTTTATAAACAAGTCAGTCCATTCATCGCTCAACTTCACGACAAAATCCTTCCCCTCATACATTCTTTCACCCCTACAATCCAATATATATTCTCGGCTTTGTCTTATCAAAAAAATCAAAATTTTCATCAACATTAGTCATATTCCACAGTTTCCCGTGCATCGTACATGGCAAGTGCTAGTTACTATAAAGTTTATTCACGCATTGTAATGTTTCAAAACCTTATTCCAATTACTTGGACAGAATTAATGTCCATTATTATGGATTTTCTTTCACCTTTTTATAACTTGTTTGTCGCATACTAGTGGCAAAAGTTCCCACACACACAAAAGATTGCACAATTTGCGTTCTCCTAGTAATGCTAAACATCAAAAGTAGATTTTACATCAAGCTTTCTTAAAAAATAGATATGGTGCCCATCAACAAGTTACTTAAGTTCACCTTGTCAAGGGATTTTAATTGTGCAAAACATTTCTCAACGCACAGACTAGTTCGCAACTTCCTTCATCTCACTGGATTAAGAAACCAAGACGTGGCTCATGATGCTTTAAGTTCCTACTTTAGCACTTCCTAAAACAATTCCTGAAGCTCACAACATGAACAATTTTGGTAAACTAAGATACCTTCCATTTTTACAATAGTATGCCATTTAAGAATGTTGATAATGTCAAACAAGTGAACAAGTCTAAGAAAAGAAGCTTTATCCAAAAGGCAAGTACGGGTGCTGCATCGCAGCCAAAGATTACATGATCTATCCTGAAGTCCATGTACATGCTCAGACAACCCAAGTGAAACTAAGCAGGACAAAAAGGACACCACCCACATGCTTAGGCTTTTAAGTTTCGGTTCCCACAATAAGTAGTGAATGCATGTGAATTTATAACTAAATGGATGTAGAATGAAGTAAACTTGGAGGCTTGAAGCATAGAAAATGCCCACATCAAAACATGAATTAAGATCCTGATTCATCTAAGAAACTTTCCCCGTTAAGCATCTGCCGAACATCAGAAAACCCAATTTCAGAAACTACCAGATCATACATTAAAAGGCTACAATTCACAAAATTTCAACTTATAGCTACAGTAATCTTCGTGGGTATGTCAAAAAACCCTAGTCTTAAATGGGTAGAAAATCAGAAAATGCATGTAATTTTACTGCTTAACAAACAAAACCCTCACTTAAATGCAAGTGTGCGTTTCTTTAACAATAATAAACAAAATTAATAGCAAATCTTCGACGCTTAACCGATCATACAAAAATAAAAATTTCCATAATAACATGAACTAAACTAAGAAAAAAATTAGTAATGATCAGAAAGACAAATGCTCACAGAAGGATTGGAAGGATCAGAGGCTCGTAGTTGGCTGAAGTTGTGGGGGTCGAAGGACGGCCAGTCACCGAGCATTGACCCCATCAATGGAAGGCCGTGTTCGATGGAAGAATCGAGAGAATAGGAGAGAGAACAATGCCGCTGTTTCAGATGTATACAAGAGTTGCAAAGATAGGCGGCCAAGTGGTGGTGGCAGACACAACATGTAAGGGACTTTATTTTTCTTCTTACAATAATGAAACTGTAAATAAATAAAAGGAAAGGAAAGGAAAGGAAAAAAAAAAGACCAATATAGTACTAATAACCATTAATCTACATCTAATTTTTTATTTTTTGTTTTTTTCTGGATAAAATAATAATTTAAAATATTGTTGGAGTAATTTTTTTTTAATTTTGTAATTTATCATTTAATATTATAATTAAACGGCCCGTAATTTATTATGTAAAGTAAACTTCCATATTTGTAATTACCCACGAGTTATAAAATAAAATTAATTAAGTTTAAAAATTGTCGGCAAGAATTAAAAACATTTGAATAATCAACTTGTTGACTAGGTTAGGTTTATTTTAAGCTATGGCATATGAATGAATTAAGCTTGAAAATTTATAAAAATTCTCAGCTTATTTATTTTTCATCCTATTAATGTCTTTTTTCATTAATTTAATATTAAAATTTTAATATCTCTTGCAAAAATTAGAAATAAATTATCAATAAATCATAAATCCTCCCTTCAAAAACTAATTAAATCCCATTTTTTCCATTGTTTCATTCCAACTTATTTAATTCATCCTACTAAATAAATCCATAATATTGTTGATAATTTTCATATTTTTATAACTTCGAGTTATATAATACTAGTAATAATTAATTAAGTAAAAGATTGTAGGGGTTCAAGTAATTATTTTTTGTTTTTCTTCCGAGGAATTCTAAATGGAAAAACCCAATCGATCATTCTCCAACCGACATATGACAATCTTGAGTTCAACATGATCATCTTTTCATTAATTAACTTTTTCTCAAAATTAGGAGGTAAAATATAAGGCATGTGAATTTTTTCTTTATGGTTACAAACTAAAGAAGACAAAAAAATTTGTTATGGCTTCTTTTTTTTTAAGTCACAGCTTTGACATTTGATAAGTTTATAAATTTAATTGTACAAGCCAACAAAAATATAAAAATTTAAAAGCGATGATAAGTTTACCCTCTGTGGGACCCATTCAAAATACTCGTATTAATAAGAGAAATTTAGAGGTCGGTCTCATGTATGGACTTAAGTTCATCAAAAAAACTTATTTGTTATGAAGTCTATTTTTTATCAATTTTACCGTACTATCAATTCTCTTTAGAAGTGAAATAAAATTAAAAATTCTTAAATTTTAGAAATTTGATTAACATTAAAATATTTTTTCTTATTATCCGAATACCCAATCGATTATTCTTCCTTTGACATATGACAACCTTGAGTTCAACCCGATAATCTTTTCATTAATTAACTTTTTTCTGAAAATTTGGAGGTAAAATATAAGGCATGTGGATTTTTTCTTTATTGTTACGAACCAAAGAAGCCAAACAAATTTGTTTTGACTGTTTTTTTTTTAAATCAGAGCTTTGACATTTGATAATGATGGCAAAACAAACCAAGTATAAAAACTTAAACGCGATGATAAGTTTACCCTCTGTGGGACCCATTAAAAATAAGCGTATAAATAACCGTCGATTTATTCGTACAAAAAGTCATACATGACGCTGATGATATACACGTAATTTTCCTTGTTTCAACGGCTCCACCGTTTTAGGTCATCGGCTGCTCTAAAACCCTTCTCTTTCTCTCTCTTCCGCCTCTCTCCAGTCTCGACTTGTCGAGAGAGAGAGAGAGCGAGCGAGGGAGAGGGAGAAGGATCTGAATCACCAACTATGGCCGCTCCGGACGCTCCTCTTTGCTACGTCGGAGTCGCTAGAAAATCCGCTGCCTTTCGTCTCATGAAACAAATGGTCAGTTTTCTCTGTCGGCGTCGTACCAACGCACATAAAATCACCTAATATACACACTTATATGTTGATATATATCTATATATATATATATATATATATATATATTTGTGTGTGTATGTGTATATACGTATATGTTGATGGACACACATAGCATTGCCTCAACAGAGCCTAGATTTTCCGAATCTATTGTTTGTTTGATTCATTTCAACTCAGTTACTATATGTGTATTTGTGTGTGTGCATGTGAGACTTGATGTTCTGGAAGTGAATGTGTCATAGGGTTGGGAAGAAGGCGAAGGGCTTGGGAAAGACAAGCAAGGGATCAAAGGACATGTTAGGGTTAAGAACAAACAGGACACTACCGGTAATTTTATTGGCTCCTCTTGTTTTCAATTTTTTTTAGGATGGAAATATTTATCTTCCGTTTGGTTACTGAGAAACTAATTGTTGAAAAAGAACTGGAAATTAGTCTCTTCAATCTGCGGATCAATAGACAGACTGTAGCTGATAACTCAACTGTGTTTTGATGTGTAATAGGAGTTGGTTTAGAAAAGCCAAACAATTGGGCATTTGATACTTCACAATTTGACAGTATCCTCAAAAGATTGAAAGTGGTAAATTCAAACTTTTCTTCTCATATTACTCGTTATGGCTAATTTCTAGTCTGATGTTACTAAGTCGTTGTGTTTTTCATCTGGGGGAAATTGACAGCAAGCAGCAGAAATTAACAGCGATGAAGGTATAACTGAATGGCAGCTAGTCAAATGATGGAATTCATGTTGTGCTTTTATACATCTCTGAATTCTTAAGCAGACCATTTATTGCATACATCTTAACAGCTGTTGAAAAGGATGATAATCAAGAAGGCACAGATGCCAATGTATCTAATGACAAGCATGATACAGGTGTCAAGGTTACACGGCCACAAGGAAGGTCAATAGATTTCAAACAGTTTAAGTTCTCATTTATCCCAAATTTTCAATAGTAATTTTTGCATGAATTGTAGTTGCTGCTATTTTTTGAATGTTGACTAATCTTCAGATATAAGAAAAGAGAAAGGGGGAAGCTTGTCCATGCTTACTCTTCGAAGGATCTTGAAGGAATTCTTGTAAGTTTTATGCATTATTAAGATGTTATTCCCATGGAATACTTATGTTTGCTTGGTTGCAATATATTGGACATATTTACAGCCATAGTTGTCAAATTATGTATTGGAAGGCGTATCATTTTTTAAATATAATGTATTGTATCATGTATCGTAAGATACGCGTAATTTTAATTTTTAAATAATTATTAATAAAATATATGTATATACCTTTATAAAAAAGTCATAGACTCATAATAATATAATATTTCTTTAATATTACACCAACTATTCAAGTTTACAACATAGTTCAGTAATATCAAAATGTAAAAACCTCTAATTCAAACTTTTAACATCAACTGCTTGAACAATTTTAATATTAATTAAAAATTTTGAATTCAATTGAACAACATTAACATTAGACTTTATTTATTTTTTTTAAACTATAACCATTGAAACGACGTTGTCTCACTAGTTAGTGATTTAAAAATAAGTCTTAGGGTAAAACAATGTCATTTCAACTCCAAAAAACAAAAAATAAAACATATAAAAACAGAATCGCCTCTTAGGCGTATCGTATCGTATCATGTATCGTTCGATACGGCTCAAAAACGATATAGAGACATGATACGTATTGTTTTTCAGGTATATCATGACGTATCGTACGATAAGTATAACTATGTTTACAGTTGCTTGAACCAGACGTGACAAGGTAGTTACTGTGTGAATTATGTTCTTTGTCATGTCTTTTTTGAGCTAGACTAAATGTTTAGATAATGCATCCTTATGCAAAGTTCCTTGATCAATGCCAAATCAAATAGTAAAATTATTGGACTGATTTAATCTTAATCTCTCCCCACCCCCCCACCCCCCCCTCAAAAAAAAAAAAAGAAAGAAAGACAAATCTCATACGTTAGAAGAGCTTTCCTAGCTTCTCTCAAACTTATTAATTTTGGGATGGCATGCCTCATTAACCCACTCAAGTTGATTGTTGGGCTCTCTGATTCAGTTTTGAAGTCTGACCTAGATTAATTTTGGTGATGTGACCTCTTGTATTGTAGAGCTTGAAGGCTATTTATAATTTTGTGGGCATGATCTTCTAGGATTTCTATTTAGTTTGCTTTTGCTACAGAATTCCAAGAATTTTTATCCAGCTTAATATTTTTCCAATTATGAACTTCCAAGTGTCTTACTGTTATATAATGTAGGTCAAAAAGGAGGAGTCTCCTCAGATGGATCATAATCAGGACATATCAGAATCGCTGGACGCATTTGAAAGTTATGTCAATATTGAAGGTAAACTTTGGAATGCATGTAGATAAAGAGCAATACACTTGCCCTTGGTATTGAAACCATGGATGCGATTTCAAAAGGGGCATTGTGTTAAATAAAATCTGTATGCATATTCACATTAGGGTGGGTTTGAAGTTATGTCAATATTGAAGGTAACCTCTGGAATCCATGTAGATAAAAAGCAATATAATTGTCTTTGATATTGAAACCATGGATAAATTTTCAAAAAGGGCATTGTGTTAGATAACATCTGTATGCACATTCACATTAGGGTGGGTTTGACTTCGCAAATGTGTTGCTGTCCATAGTGACATTTTATTGCATTCGACTCTGCAAATGTATTGCTGTCTGTATCATTATTGTGTTGTTTAGAATCAGCATTCTGCAGTGTTCTTTCTCTAGTTTGTGGTTTAGAAATACTCTAAACTCTTTGATGTTGGGTGGCTAAGAAAATCATGACATGAGAATAAGGAAACGCTTTAGGACCACTGAGTGTTCCTCGCTTTTCAAATGCTCGTGTAGCCCATTCATGAAGGCCTCAAAGCGCATTATTCGTTATTGGGTAGTATTCTGCAGGGTAAAGTGTTTGATTTGATTATACTATTTGTTTGGTTTATCTTGTTTGAAGAAAGTAATTTCACTAGCTATAAATTGACATTAAAATAAGTGTCCTGATTATGATTGTGTGTTCTTTTTTCCTGATGTACCTGAAAGAAAACTCATAATCAATTGGCCTTAGTTCTAACTACATGGAGTCTGTTATGTGGGTATTTTCTTTACTTTACTTTCTCCTATGGCCTCGGGCCATTTTCTTTTTGGCCCTCTGCTCGTCCTTTTGCCACTTTCAACTTGAATTATTTCTCCACACAATGGCATTAGTTGAATTAATGTTGCACCTGGCAATAATTTAAGTAAATGCAATTAGTGGTGTTTAAGTTTCGATGCACATACTATCCTTACGACGAAGTGTTTTTCTCACACTGGTGAAGATAGAAATGGATATATATTGTATGTGTTTCCGTGTCTCCATTTCCTTCTCTGCATCATGTATTTGGTCTTCTCAACAGTCCAAAAGAGTTGATATCATCACATATGACTAATAAGATTCTAGGAATATCAACGCGAAGGCTGTGATTCGAATCTGTGGATAGCCACACTGTGCATATAAGGGTTAGGTTTGTTAACATTCCATCTATCTTAAGGCCCTTGGTTAACAGCTATCAAACTGAGCCAATGACCTTTATACTATATTGGTTCCATTTCAGACCCAAAAGCTTTGGTCGATCCCCTCTCTTCCTTTGTACCATTCTTATTTTGTTTCATCTCTTATAACTGTAGATGTCTTCCCTTTTCTGATTCTAATGGGTACTTCTCTCTTCTACATGGTGTCTTTGCTGAAAATTTCAATATGTTTTTGATTCTGGGGGTTTTCTTATCCCGCTAAATTACTCTAGGCCATTCATCATGGGGCATTCCCAACTTTCTTAATGTAGTCATTTAGCATAGTAAAAAATTTGGAGAAGCATATAACTCATGCTGGCATTGGTTAGCTGCTTGTAGAAACTATACTATATGTTCACTCTTATCGTGGCAGGAAAAGAAGATAAAGGTGTTTCATCAGAGTGGTGGGGTCATAAACACGGATTTGTGCCTGGTGGTCTTCTTGGAGCCGAGTCTAGGAGGAAAAACCCCCTCCTGGCTGAAGATACTCAGAGATGTAGTGAGAGGACTGCATTTCATGAGGAGGATCAAGAGAATCTTTACAAACTTGTACAAGTATGTATCTTAATTGATTATTTTATTTACCAACTTGTCCAAGTATGTGAGCTTCTTTTTATTCATGCCTTACAAAAACCACCACCACCTCCTCTACTGCCCCTGTGGCCCAGGGGCACATGCACACAATCTAAGTCAATACTTGGCAACGTTATTGGGTTGAAAAAGAAATCTAGTTTGGCTTGTAATGCATTCACTTCATGTTGTGAACTCTTTATACATGAAGAAAATTTTCAGTATCTGATTGCTTATTTAAATTGTAATGGTTCAATTAACACATGATTGATTGCTCTAGTAGAATACCAGCACCTTGGAGGTTATACGATGTAACGTCCCGGTTTCTCAAATACTTTATGAATCAATCACAATATACCATAAATATATCTCCAAATAATATTTAGGTTAGACCTCCAATTACCTTGAAAGCCAATAAAATAGTTTCTAAAATATACAAATGAATGTCTCCAAATTATATATTACAACAATAATAAAAGTTGAAATCTCTAATTCTTGAACTCTCAACTTTGGTCCCTTCCAAATCATCCTGAAAAATATTAAAAGGGGAGAAAGGAAACAATATGGGCAATAGTAAAATATGAATGATCAAATATCAAATAACTCAATCGATAGACAATCATGAATAGTCAATTCATCAAATTCGACATGTCACATAGCTCAACTGTTGTCAAATATAGCTTCATATTCGGTTCATTTTAGTGACATGACAAATGACACTTGGACATATAAATTTATACTCACATCGTACAATCATAATACTCTGTCGAGCCACAATTATTTTTCACAAATTATGTCTCAAGCACACTTTGTACATGTACTAATCAATTCTAAAGTATTTAGCTCAAAGTACAAGTTAGATCAATAAAACACATAGAATTTCATATCAATCAAAAATAGAGAATATGAATATGAACTTTGAGATAAACGATAAAGCACTCTTTGCAAAGAGATTTAAAGACAGGAACATATTGTATGCTACTCTATATATTAAATCACCAAGTGATACCGATAAATTTGACAATCACTACTTTAAGAACATATCACAATTTCATAGAAATTGGGACTAGAATTACTAATCTAATTTTGAACCTAAAGTCTCACTATTTTTTCTTCATTTTCTATCTCTCCATTCTTTTTTTTTTTCGTTCTTTCTTTTTTTTTTTTTGTTCTTTCTTTCTCCTTGATTTCACTACTGATTATGGGGCCTGGGCATATTTATGGGCAAAACTTGCATGCTCACAAATCACAATTCACTTACGTCACTTGGGTAATGGCATGGTGATGCAAGCATGGACAAGTCCATGCTTTTTTTTTGTTTTACCTTAATACAAATGTCACCAATTTTTTTTTTGTGTCCCCTTTAATATTCTATATAATAAAGTATAATACGATTCAAATATAAAAATATAAACAAAATTATTTTTGTTTTTCGCAGTTGAAATTGTTTCAAATTTTATTTTAAAGTTAATTCGATGGTTAATATTAATTTCTCAAATTTAATAGGAAAAATAGACTCCTAAATGTGTGTTTGAGATGACTTTTTAAAAACGTTTATAGAACTTATAATTTTTCATAAGTATTTTTAAAAAAAATTAGTATTTGGAGCAGTCCTACCACCATCCCTATTACCCACCACCCCTAACGCCCACCACCATCACCACTACAACCACCATCGCCACCCCACCACCACAACTACCACCTTCCCCCACCATCAACACCTCCACTGCACCCCCATTACTACCACCGCCACTATCGCCACCCCATCACTATCACAACTACTGCCATCGTCGCCACCTACCACTGCCAACAACCATCACCGTTGTCAATCACCTCCCACACCCATCACCACCACCACCTTCTCACCAATGGTTGCCACTATCACTATTGTCACCCAAAACTCACCATCACCACCACCACGACCATTGCCACCCACAATTGTCGCCGTCCAAAAAAATTTTCACCTTCTTTCATCATCACTACCACTGCTCATCCTCACTAAAATTGGTACTTAAATTTCTTTTTCTCTTTTTTATATTTGTGATTTGATTTTGGATGTGAATACAAAAATATTTATTATTGATCATTTTTTTATTACTTCGTGCCTTCAGGCACAGATAATAGTTAGTATATGTATATTACATATAATACATATATTACACATCTATTATACCATTTGAATACTTTGGATATTTATTAAATATAATTAATATTATAGTCATTTAACTCATTTTCACGTAAGTAATTAATATTTGAGGCCATCTATTTATTTGAAAATTTTAAAAATGACCCATGATAGCTTAGAATAATAATTAGCCCTCTAATTAATAGTTTAACGATTAATTTTTATACGGATCGTCACAAAGGATAAATTATTGATACAAGTATTTATCTGCAGGATAAGGCAACATCTGGAAAACAGGGTCTGGGAATCAAGGACAGGCCAAGGAAAATAGCTGGCTGCCACTTTCAGGGGAAGAAGACATCTTTCTATGACACTGACGGTGAGGATTCTTCTGATTCTCGTTCCACAGTCAACATAAAACCTAGTGAAGCCCTGGAAGTGGAAAAGAATGATGAACCACAGGTGAAACTGAAAAAACTTTGCAGACAGCTTCTTCGTCAGGTTCGTCGGCTAAAATTTTTTGCTTATCCAAAATTGCAATTTTTTCCTTTGCTTATTGACTTCTTTCCACAGGTATCTGGGAAATCACTAAAGCTGAGGCAGCTCAAAGTTCTCATTGATGAGCACTCATCATCTTTTTTCTCCAACTTCTCTTCAAAAAGAGACGCTCTTGATTTCTTGAAACGGAAGGTATGATTTTTTGGCTAGCAGGGAACAATCATCTCCATATATGTGTCAAAAGGGGCTTCAGATATTCCTTTCCCACCATTTTGAATTTGTTCTGACTCTCAAAGTTCTTTGTTGCAGCTTGAAGGCAGTGATAAATTCTATGTAGAGGGAAAAAGAGTCCGTCTCTCATGAAGAGAGGCTGATAAATTTTGCTTGGAATTTGAGTATATTTGTAACGATATGTACATTGCAGCCGAGACTAGGTTAGTGATGTATGAATCTTTCTCATAATCCTGCTTTTGTAATTGCAGGCTAGGTTGCAAATAGTCATTTTTCTTAATGGTGCATGTGTTTTGACTGAATCAAAATTCCAGGAACAGGTAGTTTTTTTGGTTGAAGGTTTTATGGTTCACTACAATAACAATTTTGTCTGCGTATCTAGCTATTTATTGAAGTGATGCTTGATTTCAGATGAACATTGTGGAAGATGTAATGAGATCTTAACTTTGTCTTGGGCTTCCATTTTTATATAATGCTGTAGCATTCTGAAAACAATGTTTTCTTGATTTAAATAGTTTATATGAATTTGACTTTTGAGGCTGGGATCTGCTGTTTGAATATCAGTTTGTCATCATTCGTTATGAAATTAAAACAATCAGACAAACATGTTCAGCTGGGCAGTGGATAGAAAACCATATTTGTATGCTTCAGAGACCAACCTACACTCCAAAATGTGAAGACACATGGTATGGCTAACCCAGATGCATTTCTTGATGAAAATCAAGAGTGAAAATGGTGATGAGTCCTATATTCATCCCTACAAGCCAATGAACCATGAAATTGGCTTCTCTGGAAATGTCTGGCTCATTCAATGAAGAATCCTGTTTGTTTGGCATTTTAGAACTTTGGGTATTGTCATGATCTCTCAGCCAAAAGTTTTCCCGAGACTTGTTAGCTGGGACTCAGATTTGGCGCTACAAATTCCTTGTGAAAGCTTACCAGGAAATTTTAGTTGTGTCATGATGGGTAATTAGATGTAACTGGCCTGTACAATTTTCTTTGCCAAGTACTGCCTTAAGAAATCATATCCATGGCAGTAGAGCGCTTCAATTTCTGCTCTGTGACCACTCTGAACCATAACATCCAACTCTTTTTTGTAGCTATCCTGTCAAAAACATGTGATTTTGTTATATTTTCGGTGTTATAAAAATGAAAAGACCCGAGAATGGAAAAAAGACTATTCCCACTTCATATGGGTTAAAAAGGTTTTGAGGAAAAAAATAAATGTGATTTTTGAAAATCCACCTGCAAAATTTCCGAGGTTATCAAGCTTTTGGCAATTTGCTGATCCCGTGGCTTCAACGGCACTAAAGATTGTTCAGGTATAAGGTCTAGATCATCCCTCCGCAATCCAAGCCATTTAATATTGCAAGCTGAATGACAAGGAGTGAATATATATGGATTTTATGCAAAAACATTGGGTACAATGTATGCCAATGGAGAAAGCACCGTATCTGTACGCTTCGAGGCCCATCCCTACACTTCCAAATTTAAAGGTGCATAGTATGGCTAATCCAGCAGGATTCCTGCAGTTAATTCAGATCTGGGAGTTGCAGGTGAGCACTATCTTTGTCCTTGAGGCAGCCAAGGATAAAAAGAAAAGTCATCCTTACCAGTCAACCAGCCCTAGAATTGGCATCTCAGGGAAAGCTCGGCTCATTCGATAAAGAAAAAACCTGTTTGGCATTTTTACAACTTGGGTTATGGTCATATCTGGGTAAGCTAAAGTTCCAGGGCATGACCTGTTTAAAACTTTTACCTTGTGGCAATATCTGGGTATCCTTTGGCCGTGATAAGAATGCTCGGAATTTGATTAAAGACTTGATCCTCGGCCAGCCGCTGGAATATTGCATGCTAAACAAATCAAAGTGTTTATTAGTATCTCTGTTGCAACATTACTAGCAAAGGGTTCAAATTTCTCACAAGAAGCTCAACGAGCACAATTACCTTCTCTACCACAAAAATATACCGTGCATCTGTCTTCATCTCCAATTTCTCTAATAAATTCAGGTCACCAGAAATAGCATAACCTGCAGATCCGCAAGCAGAACAATCTACAACCTCTTGATCTGGTTCCTTGTTTCAAGAAGGCAACCGGATAAGTGTCGGTATCCATTAAATCATTGAAAAATAAGGATGATCTTGAGTGATGTCTAATCATAGATTGAAGAAGGCTGCTACAAGCATTTGAGCTTTATAAGTAGATTTGAAACTTGTTGCACTCCTCTCTGTAAACTGGTTTTCAGATTCGGGAAATTGTTCATCCAAAATTTGTCAGCAGTCAGAACCTGCTATGAGAGCCAGGGGTTGGAACTGAAGCAGGTAGTGTGTTTGAGTCAGATTCAAGACTACTCATCCAAGCCTAACAAGATCATACTCGAAAGCCTGATTGGGAAATACCAAGCTTTTAAAAGCTATACATTACAGAACAGCCAACTTAAATTTCCAGCTTGTTTACAAATTTGTCAGGAGACCGGATAATAAGGCTGCTCATTGGAAGGCATTATGTGGCTGGCAATCTAATTACATGAGGAATAAAACTGTAGAGATAGATATAATACTGGAAAACATTTGTAAGGAAGAATTTCCCTGCTACAGGCCAGGTATAGTACAATTCTTTTTCTGTATCGTCAATTACATAATGTCATTGAATTTCTTGTCCACAAAAAGAAAAGTTTAGTGAATTCTTGGGAAGTCAATCAATAGGCCCCATAGGGTTTATAACTTTATATTGAGCAACATTTCCTACTATTTACTAAACATGGAAAGCAACTGAAGGGAAACTACACAAATAGTTTCCTGTCCTTAATTATGATCATGATTTGAACTTACTACTAATCGATCGTTTGACTTTCCGTATCTTCAAATCTATCTCACGCAAATTAATATTGCGCTCCCTTTTCTATTCTAATTCACCTAGCAGCGAGTTATGATTATGAAGACTGAGGATGGGGAATGCCACGCAATGCTGCAAACGTCAGTAAAAAAGTGAAGCTGTATACCTGCAGGAACAGGCGGCCAGCAACGGCCCCCCTGCTAGATGCCATGATTCCAAGACTGTAACGGCTGCAGCGAAGCAACGCTATCACATCTGTTGACCGGAAATTTGTATGAATTCTATGATAAGGCTATAGTATACATTGGCATAGACTAGACGATGCTAAAGATACAGTTCAGTCTAAACAACATAGAGAATGGTAACCTTGGATAGTCCTATTGACTTGCAATTGAGAAGTGAAATAGTCTGGTGAATCACAAAGCAACTTGTAGAACAGTTCTCTTTGAGTAACCCTCTTTTCCTGGACCAGAATGTGGTAACACATCTCCATAACCTTCCACACTTCATTAAGTGGAAAAGAGACGGACAAAAAAGAAGAAGCATGAGTCAAAATTGGAGGAGCTATGTTTATATGTGCGCGTGGTATCTTATAATTTTTTGGATTGATTTACCTCTAATGAAGGATTTAGCAGAATTTTCTCTCATCAAAGACCTTGTGCAAAACGAATGAGATAGATAAGTCCATGAAACATCGGTCAAAAATCCCCTACTTATTCTGCTATTGCTCGACTTCCTGCTGATCTGCAGTTACATTCAAAGCTAAAATGTCATCTAAATACCGCAAAATTTGTTCCAATCATTCAGACACCAAGTAATACAAATTTGAGTATAATTTGAAGTGAAAATTTACAAACCAGAGCTAGATCTGAGATTGCGGGAGTCGAAGAATTCAAGATCTTGAGGAAATTGAGAACTGCTACTTCCATTCTTGCTCGGACCTGAACGCATATTCAGGACAAATAATAAGCACACTCTCTCTCTCTCTCTCAGTCTCACACAGACGCGCGCTCACACACATAAAATGTATCTATGTTCCAGGGAGACGTACCTCTGAAGGAGGGAGGATATCTGCGTAGCAGAGATGTTGATCGGAGAAGAAGATGGAGGATTTGCAGAGGTCTCCCATGGAGGCGTCGGAGCTTTTGCACACGAATTGATTTTGGAAAAAGGCGCGTAAACGACTGATGCAAAATTTGCTTTATAGCGTAGTTTTGTGGATCGGGTTAATCTTAAGGGCCTAACTCTATTGGGCCTAGTTTGTTCTGTACAAGCCTGAATCTGACGATAGCATTGGGCTATACTTGGTAGCATTGGGCTAACAGACTTTGCGGCCTCTGTTTAGCCATTCTAAAGAAAAAACTTGTAATTTGGGATTTGTTTATGAAAATTTTGTAAATTAGATGAGTAACTTTTCAAAAAAATTCTTTTGGGTTCGATGGTGAGTGATGTGTAGACTAGTTTACACGTATCTCGACTAATTCCCTACTCAATTGGGTCAAAGGTAAGACATTTATGTCGGAATTAGGGAATTCATGAGGGATAAACCCTCATAGGCCTCAAGCAATTGACAAGATTTAAACTCAAAATATCTAAATTTACTGCTTGTCTATGTTACCACTTAAGCTACCCTTTAAAGTTAAAGATGAGTAAATGTTCAATAAGATTTCTCAAGCGAGCAAAGCCATGATTGTTAGATGTCAAAAACAAATGGTCTTCTTACCCAACAATTATTTTAAATAATTCAAGAACTTATAAAAGTTGGTTAATTCATTGTAAATTTATTCAAAATACTAAAATAACTTGAGAGTTGCGAAATATTGTTCCTTTACGCCCCCTCCTTTATCCACACAAAAGGAATATACTCGACGAGGCATTGTATGGCTTCGAGCCCCTACTTATTGTACTTGTAATCGTACCTACCCCTGCCAAAGATAATGTATTAAAAAGAATCAATACTTGTAGTTCTGGCCTAAAGATTGCATCAGCTATTGTCCTCCATGTCGGGATGACGCTATATCTTTAATCTTGGCCTAGAGAGACCAAACTATTTTGTTGTAGATTGGGGAGTTCCTATCAGTGTCTTAAGAGCTTTGTGTCCCCACTAATTAATGTCCACAGTGAGTAATGTCATGCAGCATTCATACCGTGTTTAAGATGTGTGACATCTATTAATTTTTGATACATTTCTCACATGCATGATCATACATTATGCTATATGTCACATATGTGTCATGTATAAGTGATAGACAATGGTGTTTGTTTCAAACTAATTTATTAAGTAGGACTAATTAATCAAGTTGATTATAATTTGGATCTAATAATATTATATTCATACCAATAATTTTATATTCATATTTGTCAAGTTGTGTGGACAGCTATCAGCTTCAATCTCAACCTAAAAATGAGGGTGGGATTTAAATTGTAAATTTTATTATTAGTCGTTTCTCGGCATCACACCCATATTTTTATTTTTCAATTTCATAATCTTATCCTAAAAAGTTATGATATAAATTTATGAGATTAAGTGTAATTTATGCTTCAATTATTTGAATATTGAAACTAATAGACTTTTGTTTCGATGGTACACTTTGTCTAATAAAAATTTATGATTTTTTGATGTTAAATATCCAAGTCTCATACCTTTTTCTTCCCCCTTCTCCTCAAAAAAAATAAATAAATAAATTAAATATTGAAAAAAAAGCCACTTTTAGCGTATAATGTTGAAAGTCAAAGGCCCTACATGAGTAAGACTACGAAACACGGTTTCCTAATATTATCAGTCGGCCTCAGCTGAGCATACAGGCCCCAGATACAAAATCCACAGCTTTCACTCCTTTAAAACTTCAAACCTCTACAACCCCCCCCCCCCCCCCCCCCACCCAACCCTATACGACCTACGGCCTACGAATACTTCCATAGGAGAATGGAGTTATATAATAGAGCCAAAACAACGAGGGGGAAATGGAACACTTCCATAGGAGAATGGACTAATAGAACCAAAACAAGAAGTAGGTAATGGAGAGATACCCGACTGGTAATAAAGATCAACCGTAAACTCAAACGTCATGAATTTAAATTTTAACAATTATTTAGAATTAAGTTGTGATAGATTGATCTCTTATGAATAATTTAATTTTGATGTGAATGACCTGATTTTGACCAGACCAAAGAAAAGAGATTAGTCGAAATACGCACAAATTAATTCGAACACCCGTAACTATTAAAAAAAATGAATAAAGAGAAAAAATTGCATAATTTAGGTATGGTAGAGGCGGCGGGGCCTCCTCGCGAGGTCCCCAAAAGTCCAACTTGTAAGTTGCCCATATTTTACGCAATGATGCGGCCATTTGCTTTCATCTTATTCCAAAGGTCACATTTTTGCACCGGCACCCGTGGAGTTCATATTTCTTTGATATTTTATTAGTCACTACGAACTAGAGAGAGGAGCTCAATAGTCATGCAAGTTGGAAAGAAGGACAGCGTGGCTGTCAAATTCATATTTTACTTAGTCACCATGAATTAGAGAGAGGTGCTCAATAGTCATGCCAGTTGCAAAGAGGGATAACATGGTTGTCAAATTCATTTTCAAAAGTCAAATTCATTTTCAAAAGTGTTTTGGGGATTTTCTATTTGAATATACCTTGTTAAAAGCACAAATACACACATTTTCAATGGTCAGAGTATCTGTATCAGTTTATGCGCATTTTAATTAATCTTCTTATTAGTCCGGTCAACGGTAAACCATCCATCCGAGAGTAGGATATTCATGATTTTATCCTCATGATCTGACCTCAAAGAGTTGTTAAAATTTAAATTTAAAACATTTGAATTTATAAAGCGTTTATATTATCACTTGAACAACCTTAGAGTTTTGTGTGCGTGCGTAAAGGTGTCATTTGAAATTTTGGGCCTAACTTGTATTAGTAGTAGATAGATTTGGCCACATTACTTGAGAAGACAAATTGAAAAAAATAGATTTGGTCAACACAACAAAGTTGCTGATAAATATATAGAAGTTTCATCAGAAACTACATACTCACGAAAAGAAAGTGGGCATGCGAATTGGTAAGATTTGGATATACCACTTTATACTTTGGCTTATTTTCTTTTTATGTTAAATTCAAGTTCATCTAATAACAGGTACCTACATCGGACCTACCCCAAATAATTTTTCATTGAAAGAAATGAACAACATGTATTCCAGAAGATCTAAATTCATAATTGGAATGATAAGCACGCTACATGGTTGCTAGCATCTCTAAGGGGTCATTTCCTCTTGCATATGTTGGGAGATATTTTGTAGCAAAAAAAAAATATATAAACAAGTGTGTGAGATTCCAAATATACGGGATGTAAAGAGAATTAGATGTACCATAAGAGCGTTTGTAAAGAACTTATATTTGTAACTCAAACCCATGATGTGCAAATTAGAATAAAACAACCTTGCTAATGCAGCATGTCATATACCACTCAAAAGAAGTGGGGAAGGACCATTCTAATGAGACAGACAAAAGAGAGAGAGTTAGAGAAAAGTCTATCCAGTTGGTTATTGAAAGAGCATCCAAATTCATATTAATAATTGAACAATATTATCGGGACTTAATTTGATAATTTAATGATGTAACTTCAATACAATCATTAGATTAATTGCGAATTTCAATTTTAGATGTAATCCACTACCGATCTAATAATTATATTGAATTGGGTATCCAGAATAGGTCCAATGAACATTTTTCTAATATGAATGGAAGTGTATGTTATTTTTTCAACGAATTAAATCCTCAAATTAAATCTTATAACAATGCTCTACTAATAACTAGATGCCTTACAATCAAATTCCCTAACTAAACAAGCCCAAAAAGACAGACTTTTTACTTTTATAATCAGTGTTATTTGAATATAAAAATTTAACTTAATTTATTAACTTATTAATGTGACAGTAACATGATTTAATAATATTATTACAACTATAGTTGTTAAATATTTTTTAAGACTTTATCAGTTAACACATCAGTGAGTCAGGAAATTATGACATTTTTTTTTATCTCAATAGCATTACTCGTACTTTTAGGTCCGGCTCCTCTATTGTTGAATAAAATTTTTTTTTGCATCAAAACTATGTCATTTTATTTAACAAAATAACACAATTTTGGTGCAAAAATAACGTTGTTTTAATCAACAACACATATGCTATTGTTTTTCTAAAAGCAGAAGATCCACGCCCCCATAGTTTTACTTCCTCCTTAGCTGGATATTTCATCTATTCAATAAAATAGTCGATTTCTTCACAAAAACTTTTTGCCTTGGCTAAATGATTGGTTTCATACGCACGGATGATGAAATGAAGCTTTTCAACTTTATATTTGTTTACTGATACGTTTGACAAATTGGTCCAATATTTCTTCCTAATCCTACAAACGTACCTTGTCAACAATGAGAACTGAGAGCAGCGTGAAAAATGAAAGCGTGTGTGGTTTTTCCATTAATTTGGCACCCTTTGACATTACAAAAAAGTCCACCCATTAGTTCAAAATGGAAATGCATGAACTGGTTCAAAGTGCCCTCACGGGGACTTCAAACCATCTCTCTCTACACCAACAATATATAAACGAACTTCCCTTCAAAAGTTTCTACTATCAATTTTCTGTCACAAGCAAAAAAGTCAGCGTCTGCTTTTCCTCTTTCTGCTCTCCAAATCTCTCTCTCTCTCTCTCTCTCCATAGAGGCATTGATGATCAGTGAGTTTGCCGGGATGGAAGATTGGGGTCTGCATGCTGTGGTTAGAGGATGCAACAAAGGCTTCAGCACCAGTATCATAGATGACCCACTATTTTGTTTTGGCCCGAAAGATGATAATGAGTTCTTGTTCAATTTTCCGGGTCTTTTTGAAACCAACAATATTGTTTCAGCTAATGAGTTAGAGGAGCTTTACAAGCCATTTTACCCTCTGCTACCCTCTAATTCTCCACAACTTATTACTACGTCTTCCATTTCTTTCCTTGAAGAAGAGAAAGTACCAGTTCCAGTTGGGAAGGTTCAGGAGAAGCAGACTATCTCAGCTGAGTCTACTGTTCTTGCTACTGCTTCTACAACTCATGCTGGCAAATACAAAAGAAGGTGTGGCATATGGATTTGTTTTTTCTGATCATATATATATATATATAGTTGAAACTTGAAAGATTATTATGCCTTCAATATATCTTGGTTAAGGCTTATAAATAAACTTGTTTTTTGAAATCTTTCCCAATCTCTTTTGACAGAAGAAATCAGCAGAAAAGGGTCGTGCTTCAAGTAACAGCCGAAGGTCTCTCTTCTGATATGTGGGCTTGGCGTAAATATGGCCAGAAACCCATTAAAGGCTCGCCCTATCCAAGGTAAAAGTCTCTCATCTCTCTCCCTCTCTCTCATACATACACAATTCAGTCACACTTAAAATTGTTGGTGAATCAAATCAACAGGAGCTATTACAGGTGTAGCAGCTCAAAAGGATGTTTGGCAAGGAAGCAAGTTGAGCAAAGCTGCTCAGATCCGGGGATGTTTATTATGACCTACACTGCTGAACATAGCCACACCCAACCCACTCGCCGGAATTCCCTCGCCGGTACAACCCGACAGAAATTCCTTCCACATGATCAGAAAAGTGGCCCCAACAGTGGAGACACCGATATGGAAAAAGCCCAAAACTCCGGTTACTCTTCTCCAATATCAACGGCAATTGATTTCTCTCCAGCAACCCCTTTAATTGCGTCTGTTGAAGAAGAGTCTCCCCAAATTATATGTCAAGAGAGAAAAGATGAAGATGAAGAACAAATGGTTGAAATGAGCCATAGTAATGAATTTACTATCCCAGATTTGGTGTTAAGTGACGACTTCTTTGCGGGTTTGGAGGATCTGGATGAACTGATCTCAGACTGCGGAATTGACGGTCATTATTTCACCAAACAATCTCCTGTGACATTTTGCAGCTGACAAGGGGAGATTCTCGGGTGCCACATCAAGCACACGAGTGTAGAACAAAGCTGAAGTTTTTGCTTTCAGTGTGGCCTAGTCCCAGATTCCTAGCACCAAATTGTATTGTAATTAATTTCGGTGCCCTGCGGAGGGTGTAAGACAGACTCGAGAGCAGATCGTTCTTAAAGTCAAACAAGTTAATGCATTTCCCTCTCTCTTATTCATTTATCTTGACCAAATTAAAAGTATGAATAATTTTACTTTGTGTTGCTATTCATACTTTAAAAATCAATAACACTGCGCACACAATTTTTTTTCCGCCATGTTAATATGAATTATTGGATTCCCTTGAATATTTAAAATTAAAATTATGTCACATCAAGTGGCGTAGATAAGGAAGTGTATATATTATTATTATTTAAATATTAATCTAATTTATTTTAACATAACGATGTTACAAGTGATACAATCCCAATGAAAACAGTGTAACAGTTATAATTGGATCATATTATCGTCACATCACTATATCAACAAATTAAATCGACTTTTTATGTTTATTATACAAATAAATAAATGATCAGATATGTTTTCCCAAAAATACCTTATATTTTATCATTATCTCACAAAGATGAGGATAACATCATCTTCCTTAATATCTAACTAAAACAATATAGAATCAGCTTGGATTTTTTGATATTTTTACATGTATGTGTGACAGTTCGAGGATGTTCATTCATCATTGAGACGGTCATTTTCACTTTCTTAATTCCAAAACACATAATCAGTTTTAAGAATCAAAAAGTAATTTTATCTCTGTTTTTTTTAGGGTGAATTACACTTAGACCCTGGAAATTTATCACTTAATCATTTAGACTTCTGATATTTGAAATATTACACACAGAACCTCTAAAGTTTGTAAGCTCATAACACTTAGACATCTGCTGTAAATATATCTATTAATAAATTACACATAAACCCCCTTGAAGTTTATACGCATATAATATTTAAATTTCTTAAATTTAAAATGTTATACTTAGACAAAAAATACTCTAATTAAAGATAGAATATCGAATATTTTAAATTTTATAATCAAAATTCATGTTCTATTGTATTATTTATTGAAATAAAATCAAAAATAAAAATTTGATTTTTCTTAAAAAATTATAATTAGTAAACAATTATACTATCTATTAGAATAAAACTAAAAAATTAAACAAGAAGTTTAAGTTATTTTTAATAGAACATGAATTTTACAACCAAAATTCATATTCTATTATGTCATTTATTTAAATAAAATCAAAAATAAAAATCTAATTTTTTTTAAAAAAGCATAGTTAATATACAATTATAATATCTATTAGAATAAAACAAAAAAAATTAACTATATATCCCTCGAAAATGACTCTTATTAGGCCATTCCTCTTTCTAGTAGCCTACCTACCTTCTTTTCAATGACGCCAACCCGACGAACACCCTTTCGGTCTCTCTCAAAGTCTTGTCCATGAGTCCTCTCAATGCCTCTCATGTCCTTCTTTCCTTCGCTTGTGACTCACTAGCACACTCCTTGCTGCTTTCGTGCTTGATGGCTTTTGATGAACCAATGATAGAGATCCTTAGCTTCCCTAACAGCTGTTGTTCAATTCGTCCCTGAGCTTCTACTGGATGTTTTACCGGGCATTCAGTCATCAGGTTCAGAATGCGTCGAAAGAAGACCTTCACCCAAACAGCCTCTTCTCGGTACTTAATTGCTGGGTTTTTAATTAAATAAGGGGTCAAATTGTAATGAACACAATTTCTTTTAACTTCACTTGGGATAGTTTGATATTTTAATTTGATCTTTAAACAACCAAATTAAATTCCAATAGACAATATAATTGTATAATAATTATAATTTTTTAAGAAAAATTTGAATTTTTATTTTTCATTTTATTTCAATAAATGATATAATAGAACATAAATTTTGATTGTAAAATTTTAAAATATTTAATATTTTATTGTTAATTGAAGTATTTTTTGTTTAAATATAAAATTTTAAACTTAAGAGGTCTAAGTAATATATGTTTACAAACTTCAAAGAGTTTGAATATAATTTATTAATTGATATATTTACAGCAGGAGTCTAAGTGTTATGCGCGTACAAACTTTAGAGGGTTTAAGTATAATACTTCAAATGTCAGAGGATCTGAGTAATTAAGTGACAAATTTTAGGGATGTGAGTGTAATTCTCTTTATTTTTTATATATAGATTTTTTTTTTTTCGGCAAGTTTAAGCGCATTTCGATTAATCTTTTCTCTGATCCGGTCAAAGACAGATCATCCATGTCAGGACTAGAGAATTCAGGAGAGATAATTCCCTCATGATTTGACCTTATACATTATTAATATTCGAATTTAAAACATCTAAATTTATAGTTCATTCGTGATTATAAGATGTCATCATATTGAGAACTGCTGCCCCAAATTGACTATCTATGGGGGCAGGCCATCGCAAATAATGGAGATTATTTTGCATGGTGACGTGACGATGGGCCTGGTCGGTCTGTTGGACTTTTTTTTTTTTTTTTTTGATTTTTCATTCATAATAAAATGGAAAACAAAGAACTAAACTTTAATGAAGCGGGTGGACTTGTTAGTTGTTACATTGTCATGTTTATCTTCGAATGCCTCCGCTTCCCCTTTGGTTGGAGACTGTTCAGTCTTTCCCCTTGAATGGGACTGACCTGAAAGACCTTATTTCATATATCGAAAGTAATGAATTAAGAAAGTCTTTTTTTTTTTTTTTTGTCCGCATTCAATCTTAGTGTTTGTGCTCGCGCCATTTCCTATTACTTTTTAAAAATGGTTTACAAAAAGACTTATGGTATAGATATTTTTGTTGTTATTACATATTGTTTGTACACAAACACTCTTACTCCCTGTTTGGTTGGAGGGAAAAAAGGGAGGTTGGAAAGTGGAGGACGGAAAGTGAGAGAGAAAGAAAATCTTTCCATTGTTTGGTATGAAGGGAAAATGGGAAGGAATGAAAAATGGAAAAGAAATATTTTCCCTTGAGCCTACCAAACATTTTTCCCCAAAAAATGAGCAAAAAATGGAGGGAAGATGGGTTTTTTTGTGAATTGACTATTTTACCCCCCACTCTCTTTAATTATATATTTTTTAATATTTACCGCATAATATAATTAGAACTTAACTTATTAAGTTTGCTTTTATATATGTAATGAAATATTTAATAATTAAATGTACATGATGAAAAAAATACATATAATTTCTAGTTAGATACACATTAAATAATTAAATGAAGAATTTCTTTATAAGTAAATTTTATTTCAATAAATGATGCAATAGAACATGAATTTTGATTGTAAAATTTGAAATCTATATATTAAAACAGAAGTGTGTTTGAATTTTGTCTCAGTCATATTTTTCCTCTTAAAACCATCATCAATCACTTACTTCACTCATCATCCATTTGTCAGACTCAAACGTCAAATCACATCACTTATTTTTATCATATATTTAATCATTTATATATTTATTCCCTAAAAATATAACATCACTCATTTTTATCATATATTTAATCATTTAATATTTAATTAATTTGTAGTTAATATATTTTTTAAAAAATTAATATAATGGGGTTGATTTTTTGGACGCTCGAATTTTATATTTTATCGTGCCTTTAGGCACGGGTTATAACTAGTATTTAATATTTCATCTTTGATTGGAGTATTTTTGATTTAAGTATAATATTTTAAATTTAAGAAGGGTCTAAATATTATATACTTATAAATTTTAGGAGGTTTAAATACTATATACTTATAAAAAAAATCATGCATTTTGGTTTATTTTCTTTAATCTTATTCATGTAATTAGATGTGAGGGTATAATGATAAATTTAGTATGAGCAATCCTATTGGGACCTAATTTACTGATATAATTTGCTGATCTAATTCACTATGACCTTTGGATTGATTGTGGGCTCCATCAAATATTGAAACTTGGTGTTAATCCAATGGTTCCAATGAAACCACATCATTAGGTCAACAAATTATGTTAGATTTTTAGGTCTAAATAACATTTTCCATTTAGTATATTCATTTTTCCTTTTCATCCAATACCAAACAAAGGAAAATGCATTCTTTCAATTTTTCGAAAAATATATTCTTTTCAACTTTCAACTTTTCTTTGTATTCTTCCAATTTTTCATCATTCTTACCAAACGGACCATTATTCTTTATTTGAATCAAGTAAACTTGACACCAAACGTCTTTCTCTTCTCTCTCTCCCTCCCTCACTCACACACACATGCACGCCCAAACATGAAGCATCACTAAACGAGTATTTATGAATTTATTTGTATTTGTCAATCACCTTATGAAAACTGGCTGCATTGTGAAAATCCCAAAACATTCATTGTTCTTATTATATTTGCAAATGCATGTCACATATGGAGTAGATTCTATACCACCTATCCACATAAACATGCATGCATTTTATTGATACAAATTACATTGACAATACAATCTGGTTGGTCCATCCACGTTTATCCTCTAGCACCATATTAAACTTAATCATCCATAGTTAGGGTTCTCTCAATCTGCATAACCTGCAAACACTCTTGGCTTTCGCCTAGCAAAGCAGCAACTGATCCAACAAACGCTGCATTCATGTAGGTTGTGGGTTCGAGGTGAGAATAATCCGATCTCAAATCATTGAACCCGTCGTTCGAATTCGGGCCACCCACAATTGCACCCACATGAGTGTTTGGATTTGGATTGCTTGAAGAATACCAATTTGATTTGCCTTCATTGCAGTCTATTTTGGCTGGGCGATAGTGGATGGAGGGAATGGATGCACCTCTATGGTGCAACTGTGTTGGGTATTTGCTGCCAAAGCCCACCATGTAGGACATCTTCATTGGGTTGTTCCCTAGTATGTAGTCCACCTAAAACCACACAGAAAAATAAGGGGAAAAAAAAATCAAGGTTTCATTTTGGGAAAATTATGGGTAGGTTTGGATTATATCTCAAAAAATAATATTCAAAAATAGTTTTAGAAAAAAAATATATAATATAGCCTCCAAAAACATTTTATCTTTTTGCATTTTAGAAACTTGTACTAGAACCCAATATAGTTTTGGACTAAAGCGAGACAATTTGGTATAAAAGCCTTGGGTAAATTATATTTTACCTAGAACTGATCTTGCAACATTTTGTCTCTCTTTCTTTGTATATTTTAGAAAATTAGACTTAATCCGATGTAGTTTTGGATTAAAGCGGGATAATTTGGTATAAAAGCCAATAATACCCTTCATTCAAAAGAAAAAAAAAGTTGTTTTTTTTTAAGTCCTAAAAATTTTATGCAGACAGAAAAATGTACTCGATGCATAGAAAAGGAAGAGAGGGATGTAGATTTATTTAATCTGGAGGGAAATAAATAAAAAAACATAGTCCATAAAAAAGGATAAAAGTGACTTTGACATATTATTTTGTTAAATATATGGACTTTTGACAATTAATTTAGCAGAATTATTAATGGGTTCAGTTTAGTTCAAAACTACATAAGATTCCTGCTCATATAAAGCAATCGATTCTCTCATGGCTCAATCATGCACTTTGTTTCTTCTTCTGGTTAAATTTGTAACGAGCTACAAGCCTACAAACCTGTGATTTTGCGAAGGCTTTGATTTTGGCGGCTGAGAAATTCACAGAACCACATTGGACTCCCCCAACATTTGCTGCATTTAGTATGTTGGAGTAAACTAGAAGTACCATGGATGCACTTGTAACATACTGTAAATTACTGCTGTCTCTAGTGTACAGGAGCCCACCTGCAGAGAAATCAGTGAACTAAAGTATTTTTTTTTCCTTTTTCCTCAATAGCTTATAATTGCAAAAAAGAAAAAAACAATCTGCAACTTATGAAGCCTTTGAGTTCTCATAAGGCAATAAAGTGTACGAGACTCCCACTACTACAAGAAACACGGAGAGGTGATTTCTGTGACTTGAACCCTTGATGTGAAAATAATTTTTCCACATGCAGAGGCAAAATTACATACATCTTACCGATCTTGCTGTCAGGTGCATTCGGCCTCCCTTTTTTAACTTTAAAAGGATTTAAAAGCTTCATTAAATGTTAAAACGGCAGATGTTTACCAGGAGTCGTTTGGATTTGCAAGGAACTACTCCCAGGCATAAATGCACACACAAATGAGTCAGCATCACTCTTAAACTTCCCCAAGTTTGTCTTCCCAGCAAAAAATTCCTGAGAAAGAGCCTCAGTCAGGAATCTCCTTTTGTCCTTGCTTTGGAAAAGAACAATGTGACAATGATTTAGTAGTTGGGTACCTTTGCTAGTAGTGTCTGAGCTCCAGCATATTTGTTGTCCCAACTGAACTCTGTCACAGCCTGACTCCATCCTTCATTGCTTGAGACATAGTTTAAGTAGCTGGTTTCTCCACTTGCCTTGTATAGCCAAGCAGCAGCCCACAGCAGCTCATCCTTACCAAGAATTCAGTAACGTCAGCGCACATGACAAGAAGACTTGAGACCAGTGATTAAAATTTTGTTGTGGTGAGTAGTTTTATTCATCTCAGAAACAAAAATGTTTTGGAAACAAAAAAAATTAGAATTTTGGTTTCGAAACATCCAAAAACAAAACACTCTGAAACACATGAATTTCAAGATATAATATTTGATTCGCTGCTGTTCCACTGAAACTGAAATGAAATTTTAATTCTTGCTTGCGATCAAGCCCATGTATTTTTTAGGTATTTAGATGGAATCCCGGTTCTGAAGTGTTTTGAGTTTTTACCTGATATCCAGAGTAAGAGCAGTAGAAAGGGCACGAAGCCTGGTAAGATCCTCTATACTTGTCGGCTAATTGAAACAGCTGAAAAAAATTTATATTGAGTCGGATGAACTCTAATAGGAACTTGGAGGGCATGAATTTACTGTCTTAAATAATACTACAAATTATTACCAATTTGGAATTGCGTAATAGCTTCGCAGAATAGTTGGAATCGACCTCTTTAAACACAACTGATGCAGCAGCAAGAGCAGCAGCAGTATCAGCTGCTACCTCGGAGCCTGGTGAAGTTGAAGTGATCTTGTAGAGTGTTCGAGGAGTGTCCATGTCTTCTGGGCGTTCCCAACACTGGTGATCTGCGTTTGCATCTCCTACCTATCTAGTAAATTGACATGAGATTAAAACATCTGATGATCCATAAGCATGACAGATTGAAATGATAATATATACTTTGCTTTATATAGCTTCATTAGGTACATATGGTCTCATATATAGCTCATGGCTCTTCTGTAGAACTAGTGAAAACAATTGATTGCCAATTATTGCGATAAGTTTTTTATCCTGATTGACTATTTAAATACTAGTGCACATTTTGGCTAAGTAAACTATAGAGGTTTTTAGTTTGGAAATCGACCATTGATGAAGATTAAAAAGGGTTCTAGCTGGTTTATAGAACTGATTCTGCTTATCCTTGATTGAAATCTGATTTGTTGGGTTGTAATATCCCTTTGATCATCGCGTATTCAATCTATTTTGTTCAGTATTTCAGACAAATCCCTTAGGGTTATTATGCAAATGGAATGATTTTGAGTTAAGCATAGCAGAATCTGCTAGGATCCAAGGAATTGTGGACCTGAGTGTAGAATGTTGTTGATGAACTGTGAGCTCTCAGGAAGAAATTAGTGCCCCATCGGATTGCACTGCGAAGGAAAGTGAGCTGGTTGATTGAAGATATCTCTTTCTGGAACTCAACCGCAGTCCAACTCAATAAGCTGACACTAAAAGCCATTGGCCAACCAAACTTGACATTGTCACCAGCATCATAGTATCCTCCGGTTAAGTTTACCTGCCAAAACCATATGACTTAAAGTTTATATGCTTTTGATTAATTACTTATTCCCACATTTTGAATTGTTGTGTTGTTTCTTATCAAAGTAATGATCATGCAAAACAGAAACTGCAAAATTGTAAAGATCCAAAAATATATGTATGTGATAAAAAAGTCGCCTCGTGCCTATAGCGAGATCTGGATGGGGTAAGTAGTAAGCGATTTTACACTATTTATCATGACCTTGTCCATCTATGTTGTGTTTCAAATGTGTTTGCATGTGTGTTTGTTCCATACTATCTACTTTTGTTGCCCAGCCAAAAAAAAAAAAATTCATACTTTCTCTCAAATGACATATAATATATATTGCACCATAAGTTCAGCTTGACAATATGTCTAATAATTGGGTCGACTCTATCCAATTCTTTTTTTTAAATAAACTTAAAAAATTATCTAACACCAGTTCATTTAAAACACAAGCTAAGTTTGAGTTAAACCTTATCCGAATCAAGTCCGAATTGCTCAACCCAATTATCATCAGTCCTACTCGACAGTGCCAGTCAACAAAATCATGCCCCAACTACCATACACATGGGATCTTATGATGACTACCAGCTAGTCCTCCTTTTATTCGGCCTTGAGAGCGACCGTGGAAAACACAATTTCCAAACATGACACAGGCGGAGATATATATTATACACATTTCAAGAACATAATATCATAGAATTGGTTATGAAGATCATACATTATCAGGCTTGCCATCAGAGAGTGCAGAGTCTCCCCTCCACTTCACTCGCTGGCTTGCTGGCAGTTTCCCAGCGCGTTGTCCTTCGAAGAACAAGATTGCTTTGCTGAGTGCATCTTTGTAGTCATAAGCTGAGGAGCACAGCCCATCATCTTCAACGGCTAGTACTGCACTGGGACAAGCCAAGCTGCACCAAAATACAACAACCCAGATCATTCCACCACGGGCCATGGTTCCTAACTCATTAACTGCAAGAACTTTGCTCAATCTAGTTGGTATTTATAGAGCTATATCTTACTATAAATGCCCTTGGTTTCATCTTACTCGGGTTTCTTTAACTTCTAGAACATGCTTACTACGATGAGATTGTTTCCGTGATTCGGAAAGACTTCAAACAGTAATTTTTTTTGAAATTGCACCGGAAGTTAAGTTATAATGTTTTTTTTGGGTGTAATACCGAATTCCATACCTAAGTTTTTTTCCCTCAAAGAGATATGAATGAGGATGTGTAAGGTGTGGAATGGAGATCGCGTGAGAACTGAAAAAGTTGGAAAGTCATGACAGGATTTTACAAAGCCATTGAGTACGATCTACAACTACAACCCATTCCTTAGCGTCATTAGGTACATAAATTCCCATCCTAACGCTTCCATGTTTATATTCATGTCCTCATAACAAAACCGAATTCCACTTAAATACTTATAGATTTTCTTCCTAATGGTCAATAGTTTTAACTTATAAATGAGGGTATTCTGGACAATATATAATTTTATTGGAAAGCAATTTGAACAAGCAAAGGGAATTATGGGAGGAAGAATATCTAATCATTTCATAGGATGTGATGGAAGGTTTGGCAAAAAATTCCAATTTTTAACCAAACCTTTTAAGTTAAATATGGAAAACAAACATGGTCCACTTTATTTGGTACATGTATTGAAAAGTAACTCTGCCAAAATTTTATTTCTTGATCATTAACAATCTTTTGTACACAGACGGTTTTGTATACGTACCTTATACACATTATGTGGGACAAATTTTGGTGACTTGAGTTCATGAATATAGTGTCATACCTTAAATAAAGTGTTTATAGAGTATAAATTCTAATAATATTAATCACCGACAATCTCTCCGCGATTGTTGATCTCAATCTTCCCCATCCATGTAACCACACTTAGCAAGAAAGAGATGTCGTTTGCAAGTGTACGTGTGATACCAGTTGTGCATATAGTGATGGATCACCCGCCGGGAGGGGTGGGGGGATTCCCCCATTAAATATTCATAAGAGCACTTTTCGTCTCTTAGATTTTTTCACAAATTTTAGAGTCATCCCTTACCGGGGCGGAGCCTGAAATTTGGGATAGTGGTTTAGCAACAACAATAATATATGTACTAAATTGGAAAAGCTAATGCTTTATTACCGTTGGATTAACAAATAAAATACATTTAATGTTGATACCCTATGCTAATTCAACCAACAATGCATTGTATTATCAAATTAGGCCTTTCAATTATGTTAGTAACACTTTTTTAACAAAAGTAAAATTCAAAATTTTGAAATAATAATAAATTAAATGAGGTGGCTCAATGTGTGATAAGGTCTAGAGTAAGATATATGTATTTTTATCCTGCATGTGAGAGAGTATTTTTTTTTTTTTGCGGCTTGAATCCTTGAGGTTCAAATCATAAAGGAGCAACGTATACCTTATCTTTTCCATCTTATTGACTAATTTTTATATTAAAAAAATATTACATAATAATATTATTATTCAATGTGTCAAAATTTACAAAGATGAGAGTAAGGGGGCATCATATAGAAGAGAAAACGAAAAGCTTCAAAATTTCTTGAACACATGTGGAGAGATTCAATTAAATAATCAATAATCAAGTAAAGAAATTTAATCTTAATGTTAAAAATTATTAAGTAAATTAAGACGTATATAAGTTTTTGCGGGGCAAATTTAGAATATATTAAAATTTATATAAAAAAAAATGTTTGAACAAAAAAATTGACAAAGGTAAGTGTAGCTTCGCCCCTGATCCCTTAGGTGTAATGCTATGTCCACCAAATTATGTGGGTTGGTAGATTGGTGAGTCCCACTGGCATCCATTACATATCCAATGAATATGATGTTGCCACATCATTTGGTATATAAAATTTGGTGCATATAACATTCTACTTAGGGGTACATTATTCCCCTAAGAGTTTGTCATTTAGTTCAAAATTTTCATTTCAACAGATTATTTTCAAAACATCTAAAATAACATTTTATTACAATATCACTGTAGCGATATATAAAAAATGTTTATAATATTTTCTCTCTCTTCCTCTCATTTATTTCATTCTCTCTCTTCCTCCCTTTCACTATTTTTAAAAAAAATAATACAAAAGGAATGAGAAATAATATTTAAAATGAGTAGTTAAAAATATAGAAAATATGTTGGAGTGTGTATTGAAAAAATGAGTAGCTAAATTAAAAAATGTTGGACATGTTTGGTTTGCATCTCAAAAAACAGTATTCGAAAATATTTTTTGAAAAAAATTTTAAGAAAATATTTTTAAAAAATTTTAAATTGTAAAACCTGTTTGATTATATATTTTTGAAAATAGTATTAAAAAACAAAAAATTATTAAATTTGTTTGAACAATAATCCACAATTTTCTATCTCTATCTTTCTTTCCCCTCTCTCTATCTTCACAAAACCCACACTCACACATGCACACACACACACACCCATACACACAAATTTGAGCACGATAGAGAAGACGAACACAACGGAGGAGACGGACACAAATCCAAACCCATTTGTCGGATAAGAACCCTTTTACCGGAGAAGACTCAGATTTAAAAAAAATAAACTCAGATCTGAAAAAATACTCAAACCTCAAAAAAAAAAAAACCCTTAATCTGAAGATCGCAGTCATCGGAGAGCCTTCAATCAACGGAGAACAAGATCTTCAATTGCTAGAGAAATCCATTTTGTCGGAGAAGATGCTGCGTGCATCTGGTTTCGTCGTTGAAGTGGAGAGAAAGTCTAAGAGAGAGAAGGTCGAAGAGAGATAGGCAAAAAAAAAAAGAGTAATATTAGATGGGACTTAAAAATTAGACTTGATAATTTCAACCATTGAATATGTAGTGGGTCTCAATGAATGCTGGGATCCACAGTGTTGAAATTATCAAGTATATTTTTTAAGTTCATATAGCATTGCTAAAAAAAAAGTTTTATATTAGATAGTGTTTTTTGTTGCTAAAAAGGCTCAAAGAGGAGATCTCAGTAATTTGGAAATGCTCTGTTTTCTGTGTTTTCATTTTACTTCAAAAAACTCCAAAAACAACAAAATGTTGTTATTTAAAATTACATCTCAATTCCCAAAATTTTCAAAAAATTGAAGAACATAAAAACTAACAAACAACATCTTTGTTTTTAGAGTTTAGAAAATAAAAAACTGTTTTTAAAATTTTTTTATAATATTTTCTCTCTCTTCCTCTCATTTCTTCCATTCTCTCTTCCTCCCTTTCACTATTCCCCAAAAAAATAATACAAAAGAAATGATAAATAATATTTAAAATAAGTAATTAAAGATATAAAAAATTTGTTGAATTGTGTATTAAAAAAATTAGGTAAATAGAAAATTTTATTTTTTAAGTAGTTAAAATAATTTTTGTTGTTAGAGATGCTCTAAAAGGTACAAATGCTTTCACAACTATCATTCTCAACTTACAAGGAGGAAGATAGGGCAGCTATTTAGTGAAAATTGAATGCAAGGCCCCACGAACTGGGAGGAGGAAATTGCACCCATTATAAATGCCAATCCCTAAATGTTTCATGCAGCCAACTAGGTGTATTCGAAACTTCAAGGTATGTATAAAAACATATAGGGCAGCTACAAACTGGGAGGAAATTGCACCCATTATAAATGCCAATCCCTAAATGTTTCATGCCGCCAACTAGGTGTATTCGAAACTTCATGGTATGTATAAAAACATATAGGCTCTCCAAACCCTCAAAAATTTCCCAAATTAACTACCAACAATCATGACCTCCAATGTCAATAGGAGAAATAAACGAGATTTAAAAACAAAGGACTAACTAAATTAGAACACCCATCAACCATGAATAAACATCCCTCCAGATGAAATTTGGTAACTGTACAAATGACCCTGTCAACCAAAATTAGTCATGCCAGCTATATAAAGGTTCCCCAGATGAAATCCTCCACCATTAATGCATCCCTAAAGACTGCGGGGGTAGAACACCTGAGCTTCCAGACATACTAGCAGGCTCTGTCGATGAATGATTTACTGCTGGAGGCGCATTGGCATTCCTGCTATTTGCCACAAGGGTATGCAACTGGGATGGAACACCAGATGGTAACACAGGCATAGTTGATGATGGTCTAGCAGCTTGAACGGGCTGGGTTGGCTGAATAATGTATTGGCTTAAAGCAGCAGAATAAGCCTGCCCAGATAGGCTTCCACGCATCCTACCTGTAGGGCGCCAATTCTGTTCTGCTTCCAAATCAACCGAACCATCTGCTCCTGTGACTGGTTGCACTGGCCCTGTATTCCCTCGCTGCTCTCCCAGGGATGATCGAAACCCATCAGCACTTACTGAAAAAGATGATGTTCTAGATGTTTGAGCAGGAGCTGGCATAGATGGTGAATTTCTAGTCATCTGGGCAGGTCGCTGAGCACCAACTAGCAACCGGGTATGTTGGCTATCACTTAGACCAGTTGTCTGACCAATTCCAGTTGGTGCTACTCCTTGATGAATTTGAGTCCGTGGGAGATGTGCAGACGACCGCACCAGACTTGGAGACTGGCTCATGGCATGGGGCACCCTGATGTTCAAAGGTAGCTGCTGATTTGAGTTTTGGAGTACGGTTGGAAGTGCTGAGGAAATTCTGTAAGCACCTGGGAGTTGACTTGAAGCTGGACGACCACCAATCTGTTGAGCTGGTTGACCAGGCACGAATGAGCGATTTTGATGATCCCAATGCTAAAGGTAAAAATATAGTCAAAAATAACAATAGGAAATAGAACGAGGAAACCTATGCATCTATAGTTAAAGCCCAATGCAATGTGAAGGGAGAATAATCTTTCCAAGCAAGTCAACTTGCGTTCAGCAATTTATCAAAGTATTGACAGCAACATACATGGCTATGACAAAACAAGCGGTGAAGGACAATCTCAATATAATTTTACCTGTGTTCCCGAATACGGCTGCAACAAAGATGAGGCCGCGTGTGGCAATTGAAGTGAATTCAAATGAGACCTAGAAAATTGTTGCTGCCTTTCCACATTACTGGATGCTGTATTAAAACTATCTCCAATTGATGGCACAGCAGGAGAACTCACAGAAGCAGCAGAAGGCCCAATGTGGGGCAAGATGTTCAAAATATTTCTTCCTCTTTGTTGGGTTACAGGTGTTGAAGTCTGGGCTGGAAGAGCCTGAACTGCAATTGGTGTTCTGCTTACATGCCTGGGTATTGATGGGACCCTTCCATATTCGTTGCTGATAACTGAATTCCCGAATTGCGACTGTTGTAGTTGCATATTATTGGGAACAGAAATTTGGTTCTGTACAGGTGTTGCAAGGAGAGCATTTCCATGAAAAGCCTCCAGTTCATGATTAAGAGCAGGAGAAACAGCATCAGTTAATACGGGAGACAGCATATAATTGGTGGGAGCAGGCTCAGAAACACGACCAGTAATTTGCACATCTGACCTAGCAGTGGATGTTCCCGATCCATATGTGGACAAAAAAACTCCTGACCAAAAGTCATCCTCTGCATGAGAACTGATCTGATTAACCTCATTCATATGATTGGTGTTTGGATTGATTGTCAGGCTCTCAGTATGAGATTTACTTGGACAATTAGCAGGGAAAGGTTTTCTGTCTTCAGTTCCACAAGTTCCAACTGCATCCATCGCATCATTTCCCTTGGTGAGATCCAAAATATCAGGAGGAGTATTTAGGAAGATAGTTGATTCTTGATGTGCAGGCCTATCTTGCTTGCAACTGGGGGTCTTATCATGTGGCTGATCCCTAGGATCCTCAGTTTCTGTGACAGCCTTCCACGATCCATCTGCAGAGATGATCACATCAGCAACATTCTCTCCCACCTCTTTCAAAACCTGAAGAAAAAATCAATGCTCAAAAAAAGAAAAGAAAAGAGAACTTCAAAAGGAAAAGGAAATTACAAATACAATAAGTACTTGCCTTGACCATATTTTGATCAACACAGATGTCGGTGAAACATACAAACTGATTGCAATGCGGGCAGCGCCAGGATGGTCGTCTCGAGTTTATGTCCACATAGTTGTCAAAATCAAAACACTAAAAAATGAAAAGGAAAAAAAAACACAAAAAAAAGAGTGAACTTTTACAGAAACCAAAAAAAAAAAAAATAATGTAAACAGAAAAGGTAAAAAAAATAAGGATGGGGCAAGAAAGTTGTTTTGGGAGAAAAGGAAAAAAAAAAAAAGGGGGTTGGGGGGGGAGGAATCTCAGATCAAGGCTGTCTTGAATTTTTTTTAGATATTTCAAGAATTTGTTCAGATTTTTAAGCTTTTATGGGGGTACAAAAGACATTTCAAATCACCGCAGTTTCAATGCAGTCACGAATTGGTAAAATTTTCCATTGTTATAGTATTCCTCACTTTCAATCACCAAAACTTCAAGCAATGCAAATATCCAACATCTACAATGCAGCTCAACAGGTGATACAACATATCTGATCAATAATGATTATATGCATAACTGGGGACGTTGACTCAACTCAACGAAGCCAAAACTTCAGCTACACGAACCCTGTTTCGTCATTGCGCTCTATCAAGAGTCGTATGTTCCATTAGACAATACTCTATGATAACTTTTTTTAACTATTTCGTTCACAATTATTTAAGGTCTACCTCTGCCTCTCACATTACCATCTCTATGTATCAAATCACTCTTCCTCGACAATACTTTACTAGGTCTTCTGTAAATATGTCCAAACCACCTAAGTCAATTCCCTTTTAATTTATCTCCTATTGGTGCTACTTGGACAGTTTTTTAATATACTCATTTTTAATTCTATCCTTTCTCGTTTTATCACACATCATCTTAACATTCTCATTTCTGCACGTGCTGTTTTTTAACAGCCCAACATTTCATCCCATAAAGAATTGCTGGTCCAATGAATGTCTTATAAAACTTAGCTTTTAACCTATGGTGTATACGTCGATCAAATAATACACCAGATGCACTCTTCCATTTAGTCCATCCTACTTTAATTCTATGATTAACATCATCTCCAATCTCCAATCTCTCCCTCCCTATGGATAATTAATCCCAAATACCTAATGTGTTCACTCTTGAGTATCACTTGATCTTCGATCTTTCCTACCTCCATATTTGGGTTTCTACTAATGAAAGAGAAAGGATTATCTGAACCTAATCACATCACAAAAGTCTTCATACTATTACAAAAGTCTTCAGATTAGGGACCAACATGTAGATGTTTCCACCTCCACTGATTAGGATAACATATAAGCTGCCAAAGAGATACCATTCCAGTATCTCAGACAGGATTCATAACTATTCAGTCTACGATGGTACAGGGTGGAGTATTCACCTGAAGATGTTTGCATGAACATCCTTTCACAGGAGTTACAATGCGCCTGAAGCTGTTTAAGATTAACAATACAAATAAATTAGTAGGGAGCCAACAATATAATTCAGCTGAAAATCAGGATTCACAATAAGATATATACAACTAGAGAGCAATAGTTGTTTAGCAAGACACGGAAAAAAAAGTATACTGAGTAACAAACATGGTAACATACCTTATGGGACAGTTTAGTGATATGCGAGATGGCCCCTCTATTATCTCAGAATCTACAAAATATATGAATGCAGAGAATTTGTATGAGAACAAAAAAATATAGAATAAACAAAAAAATCAGTTTCTCTTTTTCGTTTTTTTTTTTTTTTTTTTGTGGACATACCTGAATCCAGCGCAGCAATGGCAGGCTGCATATAATCCGGTAGGGCAGAACAGTCATGAGTTGAGACCAAACTCATATAAGCAACCATAATTATATAATTTCCTTCAAAGTGAGTCACAGATTGTGTCAAGCGGCTGCTGAATTTCCAACATTGAAACCAAATACTAGACATGGAAACCTATGTATGTTATACACTTATACCGTTAAACTGTCCCACAGCTTGAAGAAGATTTGTTCCATATTTCAGCATATGCATCACAACTGTCGGAATCTGCGGTCCTGTGTCCTGATAGGAAAAATAAGACACTAATAAATCACCACGTGCTAGAAGTTACATCATACATTATAGAAAATATATACCAACTCTTTCAAAATAACATCCACACAAACCATGAAAACATTAGTCCTTCTCTCCACTCCCTTCCCATTCAACAGAAAGCTATAGAATGTAAAGACAAAAGAACAGCTATTCAGAATAAATTCAGTATAAAACCATTCAGTCAAAAAAGAAAAGGGGGAACAGATTCATACCTTACTTGTGGTGGACTTATAACACACGAAGACGTATCCATATTATCTGTTTGAGCGACAAATAGCCTCTGCAGGAAAAATGAAAATTAAATAATAAAATCATCAATCTTGATATTTCCAACTTTATGTTCATGTTTTCTAGCTTTTGCATCTACAAAATGAAAGAAGTAAATGTAGAATGATGAAACAATTATAGAACAAAACGGTAAGATTCCAATTAGTATTAAGTCACAGCAATAGTCTGGGCTATAGCCTTAATGCACCCTCATTATACTGACTAATAAGAGGACAATACACATAACATGCCCAAGAAGAAAAAACAGAGAGGAAATGGTTGATGGCAGATATTCGAACCGAACAAGTAACATATTGCTGAAATCTATGAACTGCCTCTAGTTGAAAACTGCATTGACAATGGAGGATTTATAACCTGACAATTTTTCCTTTTTTGACAGATTTTTTTTTTTGGGACTAGCACCCACAAGCACAACCCATGCACAAAATGTGTGGGAGCCCATGCACATGCAAGTACCTACCACCATATCCACCCCTTTGAATCCCCTTCTGATTTTCTGTCTGAAGGGAGAGTGATACTGGAATTATTGGTACCAAATCAACCCCTCCCAACAATCTTCACACGGAATGACCACTGGTTTATAACCTTATTCTTAATAGATATTAATAAAGCATCACATGCACTTCAACAGCAAAAAAGACAACTATCACTGCATCAAAATTTATGCTATAAATCCGGAGTTTATCAGATTGAAAAAATACAAAACATAATGAATATTTTGTTCGACACAATATATTTTGTGCATACTCATGCAAGACAATTTGTGAAATTTAGTTGGTTTGAGAGATGCTTACTATTTTATCTTCTGGAGAAGGTTTCACATCCTTTGAAATATGAAAGTCAACCAGATACGTGCCGTACCCAGGCTACAATAGTAAAAACAACAGATTAAGTCCTTCAAGTGCTTTAAAGTAAATGGAAAGATGACAAAGAGATAAAAGGCAATGCGCACCTTGACTTCAAGAAAAGCAAGTATCTGACCCATTTTCATTTGTGGATAGAATCTACACACACACACACAGAATCTTCAAAGTACAATTCAATTACTAAGGTTATTAATACTGACCAGTGATTCAACACTCAGCCACATCAAAAACGTGCTCAAACATAACATACACAAAGGAAACTCGGTAAACTGTAACACATGATTTGAGTAAGAACCAATCTTTCCATCATGGTCACTGAAACAATTCAATCACAATTCTTGACAAAAACCCCCACCCAACTAATTGAGAAAATATTGCAAAAACAAACATGAGAAAGCACAGGCCCAACAGGCAAAAATAAGCACAACAGTAACAGTTCCAGGTAGCATAACATTAGCATAATATACTTTGCAATCATTTAAAAATAAACGAGGCGACCAAACTAACAAAAAACAACAACAAAGATGAACACAACAGTGACATACTAGTTTTACCCTGCAATTCGCAGGGGTGCAGCTTAGGCTCACACATGACAGCAAAACACACACGCTGGAACTTATGCAAAAGTATTTCACAAGGGGAAGAGGGAAAGGAAGGGGGGGGGGGGACTAAAATGGTTGGGAAAAAAAATAAGAATAGCCTAATTCATCATAACAACGAAATCGTGAGCATATATCAACCCAAACAATTTTAATATATTTGATTGAAAGAACTTGAAGGTGAATCTGACAATCTAAGCAGGTGGAATAAATCTGTGCAACAGTTGTAGTGTAGGCTACACTTCTTTAAAGCACCAGCAACCAATTACATCTACCATGTTAGTTTTAGACAACAAAAGGTGTCTGGCATCATATGGGCCACAACCCAACTATCAAAGGGGGAAAAAAAAGAAAAAAGAGATACACATTTTTCGAATTACTTCTCAGCCACAGAGCCAAGCATTCATATCAGTAGTGGCATGCAACATGCATATTGCCCTTGGACCGACTTTGCTAAAAGCTTAAAACAATGGAGTAATCGAGTAAAAGACCAAGACAGTCAATAGTTGGTACACATGCAGCATTGCCATCGAACTCTGCCTAAATGAGGTTCAAAGAGACAAGAAGATGCAAACCAATTGTCAGCACCTACAAAATCACTATGATCAAGTAATGAATAACCAGTAAGAATAGCCCTTGATATAATTCTTGTAATAAGTGTATCACCTATAATGGGCTAGGACACCTAGGCCCCATCATGTCCCTTTCTTGTTTACCCTATGCCCAAAAATAACAAGCATATCACTTTTTCCCCCTCAGTGCAAGTCCAACATGATTAATACACATGTACTTACAGAATTCAAAATTTTAACAGAATCAATACCGGACAATCTAAGAATAGCTGTAACTACAAATGAGAATATTCCAAACCAATTAAGAAAAGATTGAAAAGTTTCTACCTTGACATAATAGTTGATATAGCAGAGAGAGAACTGCTTGCTTCGGTGTTAATATCATTTCCACTGCAGAAGCTGCTCCCTATCTAACTATGCAGACCGAAAGCAATTAAGAAAATCAACACAATATGAAGCCACAAACTAGAAAAAAATTGCAAATCAATTATAAGTAATTACAGGAAACTATTTACAAACCTCGTTAGCAAGACTAAGAAGTTCTTTGGAATCTTCATCCAAAAACCATCCATTCTGACAAGCATTCTATGCAAAGAAAAGTGCAGCATAAAACATTCAATAAAAAGAGGAAAATACAAAAAATATTGATAACACATTTAAAGAGACATTTAGAGTGGAAGAGCAATTCACAGAGTACATATGCAATCGCCAAAGGGAACACAATTAAACCAAGACATCAGGGAAAATGTTAATTTAAAAAGAGGAATGAGGAAAAAGGCTCAGTAGGCACATAAACCTCATGCTATAAAATATTGAGAGTTGAGACTTCCGGCCTACCTTTAGAAAGAAATTGAAATTTTAAAATAGGTGAAGTTGGCATAATGTTAACTGCATTGTGGGGGGGGGGGGTGATTTGGTCTGTAGTTCAGGTACAGAAACACAATATGACACTTTTTTGGATACACAGTGCAATGGGAGTACACTTAACTGATACGTTAATTTGGTTACCAATTTGCTTTGGAACTCTTGTCCGGATCAATTTAACTGTTGTATGAAATTTTATATAATTACACACATAGTCAACTACTTTTATTTAATATTTGTGATTGTTTTCTTATTATCTGAGATTATATTCAATTATATTTCCATACACACATAACCAATTACTATTTATTTCATATTTGTGATGAGAGTTCCAACGAATCCATTTTGGATTAAAGTTACAATTACAATATGGAGTCGGAAGTCTTGGCGATCTATGTCGCGAGCCCTGTTTGGGGTCATTGCCCCTAGATAGTGGGTTGTTGGGGTGAACGATTTTTGGCAACTTTGTGTCGACATAATGTGCAACCAACAAGTAAATGAATATCCTTGACACCAAATTGCAAGCCATTAAATTTATCCAGAACTAAGAAAAAAAAACAAAAATGAACTGAAAAATCATTTCTTTGGATATCAATGGGAATAAGACTGGAGTTTGCTATCAGAATCAGATATGACAAGACACAAAGAAATCTATGTCTAGCCAAATAAAGAACCAAGATTGCGAGACATCACAAGCAGTTTCTGATATTTGTTCAGTAGTGCATCACACAAGCCCCAAAGCTGGTCTCTCCAAAACAGAACAGAAACATCATTATTGATTATTCTGTAGACCAAATCACACTCTTTCTTCACACTGACATCAATGCATCAATTTAGAAGGCTACCCCTTAGACTTGGAAACACAACCACAACAATCGGACTCACAAATGAGGAGTGAAGAACTGCTATACAACTTTATCATATATCCAGCTCCTTTAAGCCGTAGCCATCGATTGCATACACATTATGATGAGTGGCAAACAACATTCAGTACTTGATCTCCATAAAAAAAATGTGTATTAAAATTATACCTTCACAGAGATCATCAGCACCATGATTGCTGCTTGCAGGAGGGAATCGTTTTTACTTTGGCACACCTATTAAAGCATAACAAGATGGAAAGAAATGATGGACACCTTCAGGTAATCACTGTAACAGACATAAGCGCATACAGATGTCGGGTAGAAGCAAAGATCTGACAGTTAGTATTCCACAAAATATCCAAGCATGAAACCCTAGAAAATACCATATGAAACACAATATCGTCCAAGAATAGACAAAAGCTGCATTAAATAGAATTCAAGGGCTAGAATGGTACAGGGGAGACAAAATACAATGAAGCGTAGATATATACAACCAATGTTCTCATAGCAGCAAGAAAAAAGAGGCCATGAGATAACCAAAAGTGAGATTCTTGCTATGTTGAAAACAATCATTCATGAAAATTGGAAATTGAGCACATAGCCACAGAATAAAAGCCAACGAGTGCTCCAAGATTTTAGTGACTGGGAAATTTAACAGATACAGCACTAGCTATGCCCCATGATATGAATGTTGGGAATCTAATAAACAATATGTTCAGAAAAGTAAGAGGTGTCAAATGAGGCATTAAAAGACATGAGTGACAACACAACGAACCACAAAATAAGGAAGCATGCATTTGTGAGAAGTTTGAAGTAGGCATCAATCCAAAACAAGATGAGGCCCTTGCTAACCTTTGATTGACCATGAGTAACAGTGGTCAACAATTGCAAAAATAGAGGCAGTTAAAAGTTACTGGTTGATGTGGAACCTGTGAAAAAGAAAAGGGAAAATTTGAATTTCTCGAGGGCGGCTCAGCGCCATCTTGCAAGTTGGTTTAAAATTACGTCAGTGAAGATTACAGGCTGCTGGGACTATCTTCCTATTAATCAAGTTGTGTCATTTGAGTTTATTTTGTAACCACATGCTCCAAGAAAGTTCTAGAACCATTTGCTTTCAATAAAATTGGTCTACTAAAAAAACTTCAAGCTGTCCAATCATTTTTCCCATGCAATCTGAAATGCCTAAATGGGCAAATCTCTTTTCCGTCTTAACTTCCAACATTACAACTGAAAGTGGAGGAATGTCTATTTAGTTCATAATTATAAAACTAGAAAGTGCCATGTGCCAACAAAGATACAACTTACATAGTTTTATTTAGGAAGGGAAAACTGGCCTAGAATTAGAGGAGATGAGTGACTAGGTGAATTGCTTCTACAGAGCATTCTGGATGTGGAATACATGAAATGGAGAAAGTTTTATAAGACAAATGCAGGTTTACCCATGCCCCAGTTAGATTTTCCTTTGGAAGGGAAAATTAATAGCATTGCCCCAGAAGTAGAGGAGATGAATGACTAAGAAAATTTGCTTCTATAGAGCATTCTGGATGTAGAATACATGACAAAATGGAAAGAATCACAAGAAAAATGCAGGTTTACCCATGCCCCAGTTAGATTTCCCTTTGGAAGGGAAAATTAATAGCATTGCCCCAGAAGTAGAGGAGATGAATGACTAAAAATATATGCTTCTATAGAGCATTCTGGATGTAGAATACATGGCAAAATGGAAAGTATCACAAGAAAAATGCAGGTTTACCTATGCCCCGTGATATGAACGTGAGCCTTAAATATATTTTATCTAAAAACTGTTGGTCTTTAAAATGAGGACATAACATGAATAAAAGGAAATTTTGAGAGAAAAAATAAGGCATGCTAATAATGAACTGTAGACCTTTAGTGGTTTAGCTTATATTAATACCAAGTGATTGCTATTTCAAGATGAGGACACAACAAGAATAAGTGGCAATATGGAGGAAGGAAAAATAAGGCATGTTTATAACGAACCATAAAACTCTAGCATATATTAATGCCAAGTGATTTCTACTTCACGATGGCACACACAAGGGCAAACGTCTATATATACTACTTATAAATGTCAAGATCTGAAAAACTTTTGATTTCCTATTTTATCCCTAATTATTATCATAAAGTCAATTATGCCTACATATTTTTCTATTTTTCATACCCTACTGAACTTCCAAAATATTTTGAACTCATATTAGAAGTATAGCTAGATAGACTTTATCTCTATGACCCGCCAAAACATTTTGCTTTTTCCATTCAATTCGAGAAATCCTTGAAACATTGTCAATTAAAAAAGACTTCTTGGAGTTTCGTAGATTTCCTATTTTATCCCTAATTATTATCATAAGTCAATTATACCTACATATTTTTCTATCTTTCATACCTACTGGACTTCCAAAATATTTTGAACTCCTTTATTAGAAGTATAGCTAGATAGACTTTATTTCTATGACATGCTAAAACATTCCTCTTTTTTTCATTCAATTCGAAAAATTCTTGAAACATTGTCAATTAAAGAAGGCTTCTTGGAGTTTCGTAACTCCCAAGTCATTGAAAGCTGAAACAGTATCAATTAAAGAACACCTCTTCAAATTCATAGGATTTCCTAATTCTCTCTATATCTTAGCTCTCTCCTCCATCACACGCAGTGTCAGTTTCTACCTCTCAATTTCTATAATCTTTCCCGTTATCCCCACACCACCACCGAACTACCGGTAAACACACACACAATCACCCCTTTGCTTGAACTACCCACCCACCCACAACCTCGGTCTCTGTTCATAAGAGTTTTGTAAATAATTTTTTAATAAAAATTATGCCCTATTGAAATTTGGGTTATGTTTGATTTCCAAAAATATCATTAATACCCAAAAATTTTAATTATCAACAATTTATCTAAATTAAAATACAATTTCAAAGAATAAAAAAATTAAATTAAATTTCATCAAATTAATCTAATTTAATCAAATTAAAATATGGTTTATGTGTTTGCTATGTGATGTGTGTGTGTGATGCATGCATGTGTGACTGAGAGAAGGGGGATGGGCAGATATTGCAAAGGGCTGGAGGTGACGTGAGGGGATGGGTTTCAAGTGGAGGACGATTGAATTTTAGGGGAATTTTTTTTTAGATGAAATTTGAGCCTTAGAATGAAGATGGACGAGGATTAAAGCAATCTCAACCATTGAGGTGCTGTCGTAAGTCTGGAATTCCCTTAGAATGAAGATGGACGAGGATTAAAGCAATCTCAACCATTGAGGTGTTGTCGTAAGTCTGGAATTCAAAATCCGTCCTAATTTATTATATAGATTTATTATTTGATGTGGAGTGGAATTCTATTAATCCAACTTCACCGCACGTCGTGATAGCATATATATGTCCGAAATTTTTCACAAAAAGAAGAGAGAGAACCCGAGACAACAATGGAAACTAAGAGGGTTAATGAGAAAATCATTATAAAGCATCAATGTGAGACCACCCAAACTAATGCTGGCAAGGATCAAGAAAAGGCCATGGCTCTTTCTCACTATTCTTCTTTCTCCAAATCAAACCATCCCAATGATTCTTCACCCATGGTCACTTTTTGTCTCTACAGATACATGTAATATGTTTGTTTTTAATATATATTTTGGGGGTTTTTGTTTGAATAACTCAGGTGTGTCCTTCACATGCCAGATTAAGCAAAAACCACCACTATAGGCTCAGAAAAGGAAGGTCTCTAAAAAGCCTAAACACAATGTTTGGTATGTGGTATTAGGGGTTAGGAATGGAATGGGCATTCCATGGTAATGCCCATTCTAATGTTTGGTTAGAGGATTTAAAATCCATTCCTTTTCTAAGGGAATATCTAATACCACAAATCATGGGATTTGGCATTACCAAATTTACCATGGTATTTCTCATTCCATTCCACACGGTAATTGCTAAATCGATCATGCAGAAATCTAGATTATTGCTTTCTCAACATCTCACGACTATGGCTTCTGGCTTCCTAAAAACCTGATGCTCTCTACATCTCACGTCTATTTCTCTCTCTCTCTAGCGATGGCTACAATGAGTAGATTTGGCGACGACGATAGAAACGACGCCAGATTTCTCCAATCGCAGGTATATCTCTTTCTTTCTCCTATCTCTCTCTCACTCCGAGGAGACTTTGTCTCATTTCTCCAATTTGGCACAACTATGTAAACGTACATGATTTTTTCTCCTTTTTAGTTAGTGTTCAATGTACATGATTTTTTTCCGTGTTTTCATATTCAAGTAAGAACTTCTCATATTAATTTTGTACTACGTATGTTTCATATATAGATAATGCTATTTCTATCTAAAAATTTGACTTAATCTGCTAACCAGATAATTTAGTTTTATTGTAACTATTAGATTAATATCAAATTTTAATGTTTAATGGAACTCACTGTCAATCTAAGAACTATAATGAATTAGGTCAATAAATTTAGTCCAAAATAACATTGTTCATTTTCAATTCCTTTATACTTTAAGAAATACGACAATAATGTCCGATTTTATATGTTTGAACCATCTCATGTCAAATACTTTTGTCATTGCTAAAAGTTAGATAATTTATAAATCCAATTAAAACAATTAAAAAGTTAAGTCTTTTTTTTTTTTGGTATGCAACAACATGGAAATACTAAAACACAATTTATAATTACAATCTAATAAAAATTTTATAATCTAAATTTTTTCACGTGCGTTTTGAATAAAAATCTGAACATGGCTATGATGTCCAAATTATAGGATTCTTTTGAGAGATCCAACAACCATAGCTGAGGAGAACGTTAAACTTGACAACCATATCGTATAATAGAAGTCACCTGTTTCAACAATCTAGGTAAATATTGAACTCCACCTGGAACCTCCTGGTTTGCAACAGAATAGTCAATCCCCCTGTTTTTTTTGCAAAATAGGTCTAGTCAGCTGTGTTGAGTATGAGCATGAAAACAATAAAGATTGCTTCAAGTTATGCTCCTCCAGGATCACAATAACATGGGGTAAAACATAAAAGAAACAGGGACAACGGCAACATTATATATTACCCCTGCAAGATAATGAAGAACCAATAATAATGGAAAGAAAGTTAATTAACAATAATGACAGCAGGTTTGCAGCATGAACCGTATCATAAAAGTAAAAATAGAAAAATATTCCAATTTTTATACAAGAAAGCAAATAAAAGCCTGAACAGGAAACTGGTTTACTCTTCAAAGTGTTCTTTATTGCATTCTTCACACAAGCTTCCGTGGCACGTGATGCGGAATCAATTAACAATAGATAGAAACATGGGTGGAAGTTAAGTCTGAATACAGATCTGATTTTTATACAGGTGGGATAGAGGAATTTGTGAGTCGTGGGTGGAAGTTAAGTCTAATTAGGAATGTGAGTTTTGTACATGTGCCATAGATAAATTTGTGATCAACATTTAAATTGTTAAATATCATTCAATTTTAAGTATACTATATCGGTGTACAACTATTTATTCCACATTACCCAAGCTTGTCCCAATTGTAAAATCTTATAGTCGGTGATTCAAAATCTTATAGTAGCTTGTCCCAGGATCACGCGAACCAAGTCCCACCCCTACTTAAACCTAATATGCGTGTGTGTGTGTGTATGGCATTCTGTATACAAGCAACCTATAAGTCCCAAACCAGATTCAATTTTGACAATGACAACTCTATACAACACACTCTCAACAATTTCCTCACCAACATTAACAACATAAGAAATCGAAACTAGACCTAAGCAGTTACATAAACAAAATCACTCAGATAATAACTATACATAAGCTTCTATAAACAAAGACCCGTAAAAACATGTAAAGAAATCAAACGAAACCGTAAAATTAAAACGGGTCAAATTCAGCCAGGGGAATTTAAGTAATCGTATTACGGATATGGAGTAGAAAATCTGAAGTATAAAGTACCTGGCAAGGGAGAGACAGAGATTGAAGAACTCAAAAGCGTTGCTTTTTGGCGTAGCGCGGACGTGCATCGCTAAGCGGTCCGCTACAGCAGATATGCGAAACGAGTTCACATACGATGCCGTTACAGCATTATTGCCTCCATTACCCATGTCCGTAACGGCCATTGGCGCCGGAGTCACCGTCATTCCGGCCATTTACACAGTTTCTCTCTCTTTTCCGTCCCTCTCTCTCTCTCTCTCTTCCGTCTCCCAGTACAACAGGCTTCCAAAGATGAAAAATATTAGAGTAAACGGCATAAATAAGTAGTCCTGACCCTTCCTAAATTAACTTTCGTATCAATTGAATTTTTGATCTCAAATATTTTAATAATTAAATTTTTTAACTAATTTTTATGCTAATTAAATTCTTAAACTTTAAAATTTTAGAAACTAAGTCTTTTTACTAATAATGATTAATTTTTTTGACAGAATATCTCACATGCTCATCGCATGAATAATAGATTAAAAGTATTTTAAATTATTTGTTCAAAATCTGCTAGATAAAAAACTCCTTATATCCATCAACCGAAAATTTAAACCTAAAATTTTTTTATATCCATCAAACGAAGCAGATTAATAAACTCTTCGAAGAACTTTAGGGGTTCAATTAACACTAAAAATAGTTCAGAGACTTAATTGATAAAAAAAAATTATAATTTAAGGGCTATTTATATAATTTATTCAAAATATTAATCCGAGATCTTTAGTCGGCGCTTTAAAATAAAAAATTAGTGAACGGGAAATGACGTGTTAAACGGGTTTGTGGTCCTATAAATTTAAAAGCTTACGTGGCATCAGCTTACCATACCATTTTGATGTGGCTTTCTTCCTTTTTATTCATTTCTCATTTCTTTTGAGTAATGCTGTGATTAATGAAAATTTTTACTAAATAAAGGGGATAATTGAATTACTAGAATTTATTAATTTTTTTTGATTGAATTCACTCGTCTAACAATTTATATTGATTTGATAGACTTTTTTTGATACTTACATCATTACCTTCTTCTTTTGATAGATCTTTTTATTAACATTAATGTTTTTCACTTACCTTGAAAAATTACTGATTTTGTTGTTGTGTTAGTGAAATATAAAGTCCTTTTTATTTTATTAAAATAACTTCTATTATATTTTTATTTAATTTTCTTTAAAGAAAGTTTATCTATCATGTATAAGTAACCGTTCATTTATAATTAATAGATCTCACATAAATTCATATTAAGTAATTTATCATAAAAAATTAAGAAAAAATGTAATTCGTGAAATATCTACCAATCATATCACTTTGAAATTTATTTACTAAACTGTGACATTTTATAAAAAGTGGGGTTAACAACCCCACTTTCAAGTTTAATCTGTGATGGACTTCATATAATTTGGAGATTGTTTGTGCTTGCTGGAACATTTTACAAAAATAGAATCAATAACTCCACTTTGTAAAAAATATCGTAATTAGATAAATAAGTTTAAAATTTTATAAATTTATAAATATGTTTACAAAATGTCTTGGTAATTGATTATGTTCCTCACAATACTCTATCCCCACCCACTCCACACCCACCGTAATGAACCAACAGTTGTCGGAGGCAGGTGTGTTATTTTGTTAAATTTTTTTTAATTTAAATTGATGTATTGACAATAGTCAATTTCTGTGGACCCATTTGTTCAACTAATTTGATAAATTCACTTGGATCAAATACGTCTGGAATTCACGAATCATTTCAGTAGAGATTGGAAATAGGTGGATTTGGTTGGTTATAGATTGAGTTAAATTGAATTGGGTTAAAATAAATCTAATATATTTTGTACTCACGTAATAAATGGTGATTGGACTTTTCTGAAATACTCCATAATGAAGACACGTGTCCTCGGTATTTACCAAAACACTGTTACTAAGATCAAGCACCATCGGCGCACAAAGGTCCTCGCCCCCGAAGTACTCGTCATATAGGATCATGGCATTCAGTACGAGTTACAACCAACACGTAGTCTCGGTCTGATATGGTACCTCGGTCGGTATACCTCCCTCGGTTCCGAGATGGCCTTTCCTCGGTGCCGAGAGGTACCCCGTTCTGGACGCTTCCTCTACTCCAGGATAAGCTATTGACGTACAGGTCATTAGCCTAGGCTAGTCTAGACTATTCATCATGACCTCGTCTTACACAATTAGTGTCAGAACGTACTGGAATGCAGGGGCTACAGCCAATGGGGGATGGACGCGTAGCATATGATATCACATCGAAGACAGAGAAACTGCATGCCGTTGCTGACACGCGACTTGGGAAAGCAAACGATTAATTACACCATTCCCTTGACGAGACCGCATTCAATGCGGTAAGGCTCGGAAATGAAAGACAATAAATGCTCCTAATACAGAGCATTTATTGCATCCTCCCCGAGAGGAGTACATTGTACCGTCGGCATCCATTGATTGCTCGGGACTCCGAGCAGTTAAGAAAAGAAGACATTCCTCGTCAGAATCAGTGCGCACACTGTCTGTACCTAATGATAACCTACTGACTACACTGACAGCAATCATGAGCTTTTGAGGTATAAATACTCTTTGCAAAAGGCAAGACGGGTATGCAACAAAAAACTCTTTACTACAATACACACTCAGTGTTTTCTCCTTCCTCTCTCTTTCTCAAAGACTGACTAGATCGTCGGAGGGGATACGCCGAAAAACACTCCGGCGCCCTTCTAATTTGTTCTTCTTTGTTCCAGGAACCTTTTTCAGCCTTACTGGATCGTTCTTCCGCTCCCCCAGGGTCTCCCGTTGCCGTTCCAGGTTACCACCGGACCTCGCAGGCTGTTCCAAGTAGCGTGGTTGGTCACTCAACTGGCTCACTCGAGTTCACCAAGGGTGAGATCTGTTCTCGTTTTTTATATTGTGCAGGATCTTGCACGCACAAATGGGTCATAATAAGTTGAGTTAAATCTATTAACCCATAGAATAATTAAAATTTTTAATACACATTAGTACACCAATATTCACACATTAATAGTACACAAAAATACAACAGACAGACACACACACTAATACAATAATACACCAAAATATATACAAACAGGCACACTAAAAATATACACATTAATACACTAAAATATACACTAATACATAAAAAATTATACACACATAGACTAACACAAAAACTAAAATACATTTAATAAAAAAAAATACACACATAATGGGTTGGGTCGATTGCAGGCTATGGATTGGTCCGTGGGTCATGGGGCATGGGTCACCCCATTGGGCCATGGTGTGGGTCGACCCATGCATTATGATGCGACCTGTGGGTCATCGGTCAACCCGCATGTCATGAGTGGTATACTAGTGGGTGTATGTTTTAATGTATTAGTATATATGTGTATATTTTTTGGTATAATAGTATATGTGTATTTTTTTAGTATATTAATATATTTATTTAATTTTATTACTTGTATTATTTAATAAAAAGATAAATATTCAACTCAATGAATACCTATTTATAATCCATATTAACCTGTTTAATTAAAATGAATCATATTACCTAAACTATTTAAAATCTGTATTAATTAATATAAATACCCAACCTATTTATTTATGACCGGAATAAACAAATTAAAAAATAATGAGTTAAGATTGTGAGCTCCGCGTATCAATCATACCACTTAGACTAGAAGATTTAGTTTTGGCAGTGCTACAAAGGGTTGCAATCAATAATGCTTGAACAGCCCACCACACCTAAGGATAGGATAAGCTCATTCACACCACCCGACCACACCTAAAGATGGGAAAGTTCTTGCTTCTTGTTCAGTTCACACCCTATACTTGCCTTGTACTGCAAGGTATATGGCATAATCAAGCAACTAAAATTTGGCCAATGCTTTGATGCTGACAAGTTGTCGATGAAATTCCACAAACATCATCTCTAGCTATAGAATTTCTCAGATGAGAGTCACGAGAGGTACAACATACAAACCAATGGTGTTTCATGTCTTTCTCATCCCGAAAGACTACGAAACATCAAATCATAACACATTCCAATACACAAATCTCCAGTCCCTATAAGGCCTAGGGCGCAACTTGAACTCATAACACCTAAGTCAAACAATTTAACCACGGCACCAAGACCCACAACCAATTAATCGTAGCGCACTAATGTCAAATATGAAGTGCCACTCCACCTACTGAATGTGAGGCAGTAAAAATCTCAAGTTTTTGCAATATTGTCATGTGCCATCAATCAATCAAAGGATCATTTGAAAAGAAAAAGGATAAGTTAACAATCTTAAATGATGACATATTAGCACTGAAGAACTCCGCCCCGGTGATGCAAACAGAATTAAGTATTTGCCATAAGAAAAAACAGCGCACATCGATAATTCAGTACAATGTAAAGTTCATTTCCATTTTACACAATTAAAAACCTGCATTGCACGGATAACACACAACTCCAGCTCGTGTGTTATGAGCATTGCAGTAAGTTAACCCTCACATACCCATTTGGGGCCAAAGAAGATAGATTTAAAACTTCATTGCTTGGTGCTAACAAATTCCCAAGATGCAAAATGATTCAACAGACAGCAGTTCAGACACGAAGTCCATCTGCAATTCTCCTCTGCTCATAGTATCATCCCTGGTGCAGATAATTCAACCCTTTGCACCCTGAAGAGGATAGCAAAAATACAATTCAGAGTCCAAACTTATATGAAATTAAGGAAGGGAAAAAAATCTTGGGTCACAGCTCTTTCAATGATGTTGAATGTATCAACTGTAATTAGCTTTGTCTTGCTGAGAAAATTGGGAGGAAACATAACCTATACTATACTAATCACGTTTTATGTGTAGCCTGGTGAGTCAAGGTTGATAAATAAACTTCCATCATGTAACCCTCATATTTTTCAAATACAATCCCTCCACTGTCTAACCAACGGAACCTCTGTCTCCCCAACACTCCTTGCCCAAAATTGACCTACAGAAACTACCTAGACCATGGAATGAATTAAACGTTCATTTCCATATGCCTGTCAATAGTATATGTATATCCTTGATTTCTATACACATTGGTTAAGCATATGCATCAAGAACTAATGTCTCCCTGGCAGATCTCCAAGGATAAACCACAAAAGGACTAACCTTAAATTCTTCACATGGTAAATCACAAGTTACAATGGCATGCTGAAGAGAACATTTAGGAACTGATGTGACATTTGTCACAGTTAATTATTTCACAAACTGAAGTTGAGATCTTTGCTCAGTTCAAAAAAAAAAGTTAATATCTTTGCGGTTCTTGTTTTATTCTAACTAATGCTTATGTGCCTCATCCTTTTATCTTGATTAATCAATTTTTACCTTATGAGGTGGTGTTCCTGGTCTCAACATGTTGCTGCCAAATCCCATCTTCCCTTTTTTCTCCGATGCCTTTAGAATTTGAAAGGAGCATGTCAATGTATCATCCACACTCATCATCGCACCGGCATTATCAAACTCTCCACAGTAATTTGGAGCTGAGAATATGGTGACCAGCTGCCGCTTTGCAAAGAATTCATACCCATCTTCCACAACCTGATGAGTAACAAAGATGAATATGGAAACATCAATATCAGAGTCCATAACACCAACAGTCCAACCTATGGATCACCCCCCCACCCCCCCCCGGCACGTGGGTGAAAAACCACAACAGATAAATAAATAATAAAATAAGCAAATCATATACGTGCATACACACATGATGTTGAAAGATATTCTATACTCAAATCTTATACCCAACAAAAGAGCCCACTTTTATCATGACCTAAAAACAAATCAAAAATCAAACTGAAAAAAAAAAACAATTAAAAAGCAAATCTAGAGATTGTTAAAATTAAATTTTGACACAAGTTTACTATGTCAGAATTCAGATTACTTTTACGAAAATAGACTTCCTAAGCCAGCACAACTTATAAACAGAAAAGGAAATCCGAATTGCAAAACTTGCAAATCTTTAGGCATCACAAACGAAGCCAGAATCGTTATAGACGCCATGACAGAATTGTGGTACATAATCATGAGAATCACATGCAATTCGCATAGCAACCAATAACTCACTCTTAAGCCAATAGGCCACCACGACAGTTTATATAACCTAATATCACACACAAACACATGGTATTGCCCATGAGAATGTGTGCCATGAAATTCAACTAACACTAAATACAATATACGTCGGGCATAGAACTTCAATAATATAAGAATTTGAGAAGCATGCCCAAGGAACTTTTAAGTACAAATATCATTACATTAACCACCCACAATGTTCATTGAACCTTTTCATGTCAATAGCAAGTATGCCATATGAGCACATGGAATTAAAGCATATAATCACTTGAGGCATTAGGTGAACAGCTGAAAACATGCATCAAGACAGCATATATAAACCTCCACATGCTAGCGCAAGTTGTAGGATTTTACTAACAGGTTGGGGCTATTTATGCTTGCTTACCTGGTGAGCTCGGCAGATGAGATCAAGGTCATGCCTCTGGAGGAATTCAGCGACCTTGTCGGCTCCAAACGTCCATGACACACCCCTGTCATTCTCTCCCCATCCTTCAGTATCTTTATCAGGATCAGCCCATAGCAGGTCACAGAGAAGACCCTGATCTGGCACATCAACTGGACGAGCTATATTCCTGATCTGATCCAAGTTTTTCAAGTCAGGGGACAATCCCCCGTGCATGCAAAGGATCTTCTCATCAATAAGAGCAGCAACAGGTAGGCAATTAAAACAATCTGTGAATGTCTTCCAAACACGAACATTGTACCTCCTCTTGCACTCATCAAAAAACCCATAGATACGGTTGATAGAAGCACATTCATGGTTGCCCCTCAGAAGAAAAAAGTTCTCCTTGTATTTTATCTTATATGCCAACAGAAGGCATATTGTTTCTATGCTCTGCTTACCACGGTCAACATAGTCCCCCAAAAACAAATAATTTGCATCTGGTGGATATCCACCATACTCAAACAAGCGCAGAAGATCAGAATACTGACCATGAATATCTCCTGCACAGCAACAAAAATGATAATAAATTGATTGGTTCAACGAGATGGAATTACATGTAAAACAAGAGTTGTGATAGGTGACAGCAACAGAGTAAGCCATGCATACAGTGCTTGCAAGAAAGCAAGCACAGTTGATTCAGCTGGGAAAGGCAGTTTTATAAACAAATCTGTAATGATATGAAATTAGCATGGAAAGAATCCAAAAGAAAGATTAAATCCAAAAATCAACACGTATAAATATCCAACTCCACTGTGTCATATGAACCTGAAGTAACCAGAATATTGAATGACAAAAATAAAAGGCAAACCACACACACATCACGCAAGTGCACATACAATAGGTGGTAACAACTTGGCTGTCGAACATACAAAGCTGCCCGTCCAGAAGTTCTCTCAACCAGAAATAATGGATGCTCAGCTTTGTTGATTGTGGCTACAGCCTTGTCAACTGGTTCATTCACAAGCCTAAAGAAGCCAAACGAAACTCCATAATCCAAGGGAATCTTCCATGCATGTATGTGAGTATAGAATTTGGGTGTTGTTCAAGCTCGCTACCATTGGAAAACCAGTTGTCAAACAAAAACTAAACCCTCTGGAACAGAGCTAGTTGGGATCATGCCAATACCACAGAAACATATTAGCAAAGTTTAATTATGCTGGCAAGCAAACTCTTGTGCTGTTAACAATCACAATAGATCAAGAAGAAATCAATTGCCATCAACTAAGGAACCCTCTTTCAAAATTGCCTCTTTAAGAACAATTTGAGTTACCTGTCCACCAATACAAAGCATCCAAACTTGTGGCAGTTAAACTAAACTTCCAAACCACTTAATATGTACCAAATCAAAAGCAGCAGAACATAGCCATGATATATTGAGTAAAGGTCAGATTTCATCAACATTGCTAATGCATTCAGCAGCTCGCGGGGCTCCAATAGGCAGCATTCTCATGCAGCCAACTTCTGACAAAGATCACATCCATGCAGCTGATATCGCATCTGAATACCTTGAACAAGAATAAGTTTGCAAAATACCAGTCAGATGATGCACGGAAACTCTTAATTCAAGCGAGGCAACAGGGCAAAACCCTGATGGCCATACTGAGGATGACCCACTCTCGGAGATGCTTAGGGCTGGGCATGAATAGGCCAAGCCCCCATTATTTTCTTGAATCTTTTTGTTAGAAATTATTAAACCTTCTTAGTTGACAGTGCGTAAATGCCCATTCTAAATAAGCATATAGTTATAATGCATTTGGTACGACCATTTAATATAAACCTTAAATGGCATATTAAATTAACCCTATTTTCGCACACGTCCATTACCCTGTAGGAGGCATCCGCCCTGGATAAATTAACCACCTCGTGGTGTTCCCCCCAACAACAACTCCAATCCCCCGCGGGAGTGGGGAATGATCGGCGCAGCGGTTAAGCATCCTTAGACAAGATATTGGTCTTTTACGATTGGTCCATTTGTGTCCAAACCTCATGGTCCTCACCAAAGGCAAATCATAATCTACTTTCTGATTGAAAGCCCAAAATGAGACAAAAGCATAGGTTTAACAGACAGTCCAAATTAAGACGGAAGGAAGTGGATTAGAAAAGGCTACAAAACTCATTTCATAGAAACCAAACACATTAAAATGACCAAGTACCTATCCTTTTTTCATTATGAAACCCTATTCAGATATCCATGTACATCTATGATTTAATGAAAGTTCAACTAGGCCTTGTTGGATGACCTTTCACCTTTTCACACAAAGAATTGTTCTGGTTTTTCCCTTTTAATCAATTTGGAATCCATCCAGATACGTTTAAGCATATAAGTCAATCCACAGGCAGTTTACAAAAAGACCTAACTTTTGTATAGCAGAGATTTAAAAGCCAGTTTTCCAGCAACGTCACACAAAACAAAAACAGATAATTTCCTTTCGCACGGTAAAAATAAAGTAAAAATTCCGAGGCCGGCTTAACTGAAACAGTAGCAGTCACAATAGACGGAATCTGTCGCTTTACATATTATCAGAAACAAAAATGCACAAGATGAGATCATGATATTGTTGGACACCAGTAATATACTTTTCTCGGTTATATAATGAAAAAAACTGCAATTAATACGACAACGCAAAATTACCCCAGCAAAGTGCCAAGGTTTTCAAACTTAGCAATAATCTTAAAAATTGAAAACCGCCAGGATCCAAATAGTGAATACATTGGACAAAAACTAGCATAAAATAATTTAATGACAACTCAAAATGCTTATATTTCATTACCACAAATCTTGATAGGAGCTTCGAGCTCAAGAAGATTAGGTTGGCTGAGAAAAATCTCCTTTGAAGCCATACAAAGCTGTCGAATCTCGGCCTCTGTGAGATTCACCTGCTTCTGCACCCGACCGTTCTTCGCGTCAAGAAGCCGCTGTATAATATCATCAAGCACAGCCTCATCCATAGCCCCACTATACAAATTCAAAACCCTAGCTTCTCTCTCTACACATTCACACACACACACACACCTCCTCTATCTCTAACACCTCAGAAAGACGGTATGATCAATCTAACAGCGAATAGCTTTTATAAAAAGCGATATATACCAATAAACAGAATAACAAAGTAACGTTGAAACCTAGCTTTCACTTTCTCTCTCTACCGTTAGATGTAGAGATGACATTGCTATGATTCCGGTGGAGAGTGACGGCGATTTTTCTTTGTTTTGGTCAATTAGTGCTTTTGGATGAGTGGCCGCCAATTCCCGCTGCCTTTCTCTCTCTTGCCTCGTCTCTCTCTCTCTCTGAATATTGAGAGGGAGTTGGAGAGAAGTATCACAGTGGTGGGGTTGGGGGGACCTGACTATAATTGCATCATGTAAAAGAAGCCCTAAAGTTTGCCAAACCCTATCTGCTGATTATGGAGAGCATGCGGTTTGCACGTGCTCCCCAAGTCAACTCACTTGGATTCGCTTGTAATTATTTCGATTAGAAAGAACCAGAACTTCTCGTGTGCTGTACTCTTCTTTTCTTTGGACATGTGAATTCCGTTAAATTTAACGAGGAAAGGTCAAAGCACGCTTTAAGGGTTTGATTAATATAAATATTATAATTTAGGGGTTAAATAGATAATTAAAAAATTATAGGGAAGTGCATGTAATTTACCCTCTCCCACGTGACACACATCAGTGCTTAACTCAGTGGAACCGTATAAACAAAACTGTACCAGAACACTCCCTTACCATTTTGAATCAATTGTTATGGATAACGCCACGTCATCCCCGGAGGGGGTCAACGTGCCAAACAAAACCCGTGTGGAATAACGACAATTTCACCGGAATATTCCACACCGACGAACCACTGCAACCTACTATTCTTCTTTTCCCGAAAACTATAAATACTTCTCATTCTCACCTCTTATTTTCGTGCCCTAGACTCTCTCGTCCACCAGCCGCAACATGCTCTCCACAGCCAAAATCTCTAATTTCTCTCCCATTTCTACTCAATCCACCCCCTAATCCCTGGTTCTTCCGTCGTTTCAGCTCTGAATAAGCGAAATAAGAGTCCCAAAATGGTTCTGTCCGACTCATTCTTCATTTAATTGCGTGTGTGATGCGAGTGTTTTTGGTAGAAAATGGTTTTTAGTGTATGTGATGTTCTTGTTTTTTGTCGGTGGTGGTGGCGGTGGTTTCGATTTTAATGGATGCGGTGGAGTTGCCTCTTCCGGCTGCCGTTACTGTGTCCAAGCTCATGGGATCGGAGGGTTGTGGTGGCGTTGGGGTTAAAATGGGGGAAATAGAGATTCGGGAATCGGACCGCGTTTCAATGCTCGTTACTCCTTCAACTGAAGCAGGCAGCTCCTTTCGCAGTCAAAGAGGTGACTTTTTTGGGTTTTGCTCACCCTATGTTTCTGTACTTCATGAATTTATGCTGTCTTGCTTACTTTTTTGCACCATACTTCGTTTGATGAACTGGTTGATCTTTTGATGTTTCACTTTCCTTTCGTGAATTTCGCTATGAAGATGCGCTTCCGATTTAGTCATGCATGCACTGATATATTTTCCAATTTAATTGTATAGAATTGTTGTTGCTGTGACCGCATGAAAATCATCTGGCTATGTGACAGAGTTGTTTCTTGCGAACTTTTATGGTTTCTCAGTGTCTGTTTCACATGATCGTATGGAAGTCATTTTTGGAAACGAAATGTTTTCCATGTACTTTTCGTTTATTTCAATTTTTTTGGTATTTGGGAGGGGGTTGTTGGGGGGGGGGGGGGTGGTTGTTGGGTAGTTGGCCATAATGAAGAGGAAACATTATAGTTAGATTTCTCAAGAAAATTTGTTAAGATTTCGTGTAAAACCTAACGGAATGAAATTTTTTTTTTTTGGTAAGTACATGTGTTATGGTCAAATTGTTAAATAAAAGCTTTTGTAACTGGACATTGCTTAACATTAGTTACTATACCCGTGAACTATTTCAAGTATGAGATATGTAAGTTGAAGTCTTGGATCACGTTTGCTGAAATTCACGTTTGTAGTAAATCTTGATGTTTAATCATTGAAGAATCACATTATAACAGAAATTCTAAGTAATATTGCCTAAACTATCATTGAATAGAGTATTGTGTGCAAATCCATCATTCTATATTTCATCATTGTAATGCATTGCAATTTGCTTGACAGTAACCATGGTGATTCTCGTTATCACTTCAAAGTCTGGAAAATGTGAATTAAAAAACAACTAGTTTTCTTTTTTCGTTTTTCCTTTGTTTTCTTTTGATAATTAATGTTCCCAAGGCTAATTAAGCACACCAACAATGAAAAATGTTTGAGACACAAGTTTGGAAAATGGGTTTGGAAGCATGGATACGAAAGATGAGAGAGTGCCTACCCTAGAGTTGCTTAGCCTCTATATTCTGGTCTTAAAGTATTTGCTTCTTTTTTGCTTCAAACAATCAATTATTTGTGTTGAGAACATTGTTTATGGTCCTATGGTTTTCGGAATGGGAAAAAGCTATGAGATATTTGTTTCTATAACATATGACTTGCATAGTTTCAATAGTAATGTCCTGTCTCAAGATTAAGTTCTTCAGTAGAGTCAATCCAAATTGAAACTTTGCGCAAAATTTGTCCTACTTGACAAAATTTGTATGCACATCATGTGTTCTGTTAGCTGTTTTGGATAAAATCTTATTTTCATGTTGAACTAAGATAATATCAGTTTAAAGTACATGACATGGCTGTACGGAATTATCTCTAACACATAACAGACGGGGTTTTAATCATTCATTTATTAGTTGCCATCGAATGGCATGGTGCATGCTTGCCGACCTCTCACACCTAATATTTGTAAATCTTGGATGCAATTTAGTGGTCTATTTATCTTATCCTGATTCGTTTGAGACACCTCACATTGGGTTGTCTGAAATTAATTTCTTGAAGTGTTCAGAAAATTTCGTCAAGTTGACTTCTTCTTATAAAAAAAATGCGGAGTATGAGAATAAGAAAAAGTAGGAAAGAGAAATCATAGTAAGAAAAACCAAAGGAGGACAGCAAACACCGCAAAAAAGAAAATAGAGCCTCCAAAATTCTTGTCTACACAACTCTCATAAATGAGTCAATCATTGACCATGCAACAAATGAAGTGTAACGGACATAACTCCATGCATGACTATTTAGACTTCAGTACCAATTCAAGGAAAACCCAACTAAATTTTATATTGTAGTTGCAAAGCATTAGATGAGATAGCTTGTGATCACTGAAGTTTAATACTTCTCCACACAACCAATAGTGGGTGCAAACTTGGCATCTCCGTTCCTATTGTCTATCGGGGCCACCAGCCAAGGAGAGTACCTTTACAGACTGGTGTTTATTCTTTATATTGTTGGTTCATTTTGTAATTTTATTTTTTTATTGCTCATTTTCAAGGGTCTCCACCTTCCCTCATGCATCACAATTCTATCCTTATGAATTGAGTTTTCTAATCTTCTAGGAACAAATACTAGAGCTCGAATGCGCCAAATTTAATAGTTTAAATCAAAAGACATGAATCAATAAATACTATGTTTTCCTAAAACTTTAATCTTTCTATTTTGATCAACATTGAATATTTGAGATCTAATATACACCAACTATTATTCATTCATGTATAACTACATCTAAGAGATACAATGGATCTCTTCCAAATTTGAGTGGAAACTCTTCACAATACATACGCAAAACATGGATTTTATTACAAAACTCATAGTTTCAGCTCTCACTTGTATTCAAATTACAGCTAACAAATAGATTAATTATAAACTCCAACTATTAATACGCACAACTATCTTAAAATATAGCACCCTGACTCCTGAAAATTACCATTTTAAATGTAATATTTTTGCAACAAATCAAACAACTGTCGCAATTAGCGTCGGTAATTTAAAAAATTAAAGCAAACAACATTTCAGGATCAAGTTAGAAATTTTATTCAATCCAAGTTACAACAGTTAAAGTAGTGTAATGCAAATTCATCATTGATCAATCTGTTAGTGCATATCAGAAAAAACAAGCAAATTTAATCTAATTGCCGTAATAAAAACCAAAACAAGAAAACAATGCCCGGTAAAGTAGAGGTGGGGGAGAGGTGTATGTAGTGAACCATAAGAGGGAACCCAGACCTTGCCTTGCTTTGTTTATCGTCTATATATGAAGAAAGGTTGAATGTGGAGGACCAAAAATTCTTCCAATTGAAATTGCTAATTGATGAAAAATGAATTCAAGGAAGTCTAGAAGTTGAGGAATTTCAAGCATTATCTACAAGTAGTAAATGAGGTTGTGTGGCTTTAGAGTTGCTTTAGTGCCTTCTGGTAGTTCGGCTTTAGAGTTGCTTTTGTGTACTTTTCAATTTCTTAGCAAGATAAACAAATAAAGATTAACGGAGTACGCAACAGGTAGCCAAAAATCAAGGCTGACTTTATTAGCACAAATGTCTAGTTAAATTGGAAGAGCAAGCATACTCAATAAAAATTGCAATTATTATTGATTAAATGTAATGAACCATTAAATTAATCTTATTGTTAAAAGATTAAAAAAAAAAAAACAGTTTTAAAATTGCTGCCGGTCAGAATGTGTTTGGAGAGGATTAAAATGACCTAACTGCATTGTAAAGGGGTAAAAAAGAAAATCAAAAGTTTTGAAAAATAGTTGGCATTTTAGATTAGTATAGATAGATTATTAGTATAGATATAGACACAGATTAGTATAGATATAGATATAGATATAAATACAAATTGAGGGGAATGTAAAAAATTTATTTTAATGTGGTCATTATTCATCTGTTAAAATTTTAATCTATTGCCCTTTAAAGATTCATTAGGTGGACAAGAAATGATCCCATCTTTCTCAAGTTTTCAATATATACAGAGGAAATTGTCTTTAAAGAGTTAATTAAAGTTAAAATAGGAGAACAAAAGTTTTTCATGCCTATGGACTTTTAGAAGTAGTATAGCTATGGATTATCTATTAAAATTGAGCTAGAGAGGAGCTTCTTCATTGTTGGTTTAGTTTTCTGTCATTTTTTATTAGATGAGATCTTAAGCACGTAAATCATGGTCAAGCTGCTACATTAAGCTTTTAGAATGGAACAGTAGTGCTCAAATGAATCAGGGTGGTGAGGAGAAATATACGTTTTCTTATGTTTGTTTTATGCTTCTGCCTTTTGCTGTTTGTTTGAGGTAATGACCATGGATAAAAATTGGAAATGCAACTAGTTTTACCGACACATCTTGGTTTATGGCTCTTGAAAGTTTCCTCCCTTGTATCTATATTTCACTTGTGCATTTATTTTTCCCCCTCAAAGGGATAAAAACAGTGTACTGTGGTGCTGATATTTCAATTCCCATTTTTACTCTTTCTAGAGAAAACTCATATGGGGAAGCAGAAGAGTAACTCAAATGCCAAGCGAGGGGATAAAAGAAACGGTAAAGTTATTAAGGGTAAATATGATTCTTTCTTGCTAAAGAATGGCTTGGCAAGCTTCAGCTCTACTGCTGGAGGAAACAACAATCTTGGTATGTCAATATTAGTGTAGTAGTTTATTTTAATACTTGTCATTCATTGATTTTCATTCTGGTTTTTGTGAGGTGGTTTCATTTGCTGCTATTCAGCTGTGTAATTGTGGTTTCAACTAAGTTGTTAATCATGTATTTGAATTTAAGATTGGCATGTAGTCAGAGGAACCTTGTTAAACACAGCTTTCGTTAATGTGTATGTTGATGTTAGTGTTACTGTGGTATGTGGAGTACATTTAATTTCTTTAGCTTTTCTTCATTTACCTTTTTGCTTCTAGAACCAAACATGCCTGTTCTACAAAGTATTGAATATTGGTTGTGCACAATAAGACTTTCCCCAGGGGCTTATATACATCTATACTAATTTTAAAAGTACAAAAAACTTTTATTTTCCTCTTTTATCCTCAAACAATTATATAAAGACAATCGTATCCTATTTTCTGCTTTAACTCTTGGACCATTCCTATTCTAAGAATAAATATTTAATTACAAGTGTAATGAATAAATGGTTACCAATAGTAAACTGGCTTATATCATATCTTGTCATATATGAGGAAAGTTAACCGGCTTCAAGATTTTTCTAATAAAATTAACTTACAAAGAAAAACTTTTATTTTTCTTTTTTACCTTCAAACAATTATATAAAGACAATCATATCCTATTTTCTACTTTAACTCTTAAACCATTTCTATTCTAAGAATAAATATTTAATTACAAGTGTAATGAAACCGGCTTCTTAGGAAAGTTAACCGGTTTCATATTTTTTCTAATATTTAATTTCAAATTAAATACATACAATTTAACCACATAAAAGTTAACTAAATATATAATTTCTCTAAATTAGCCCTCATCCATTAGGACCCTTAGTATCCCATAACAGACGCCCTCCTCTATCTCTTTACACACACAAAGACTTTTAATTCTCTTTTTTTATAGACAATTATATTGTGTATGCTCATTATTCTGTACATTTATTCTTTCCACTGGTCTATCGATCCTCTTAAGTGTTCAATACGTCACAACACTTTTACATGTAGGAGAATAATTACTTCCATTATTAAAAAAATGGCTACATGAACTATATCAAGCCATTCATAATGGCATAATTTTTTAGTATTGTAACAATCAAAATCTTCCATCTTCATAGCATTAATGCACTTCCTCTTTACTTTTCTCTCTCTATCTCTCCTTATAAATCCCTCAATTAATATCAGAATCTGGGCAAAACAATAACAAAAACAAAGCTCACCTTCTTTGTTCGAAATTTTGGATTTCCAAATTCCATAGTTTCTTTAAGGATACCTCAAAGCATTTCCCCTGATACGATATAACTTTTATTGATTTTATAGTAAGCTCAAAACTCCTTATGTATGTTTATAGTTTTTATGAAGTATGATTTATTGTTCAAAAAAAAAAATGAAGTATGATTTAGAGTTTTTCATTTAGTTTTGATGATTCTATGTTGGCTTCTTTGGACGCAAAAGGAAAAGAATTTTTTGAGGAAAAAGAATGAAGGTCGAGATAGCTTGCATGATACTGGTGTCCATGCTTCACTATTTTCATAATTTAAATATATGTGACTTGTATGAGAGACTAATTGTTCAAAGAAAATGGGGTCAGAGACAAATTCAATTCGTTTTGAATGTGAAGATTTTGTTATGAAAAAATATGTATTGCTTTAGGCAAGGGCTGAGCCAGAAATTGTTTTTGGTTGGACATTGAATATTTTAACAATTTTAATTTTTTTTGCAATTGATAAAAATATGATAATGCATTTATATTTAATTACGTCCTATTTAATACTTAAAACTTCATTAAACTCAAAAAACTAAAATTCGTAAGCATACTAGATACAAATGACAAAAAAAAAAGGAGAATAATTATATTCTTTTACGAAACAAAAGGCTAATTAAAACCATTTAGAATTGATTTTGATGAATTTTCATGCGTTGAAAGTCTTGTATTAATTTTATTATTCTTTATATCCACAATTTTACTATCACTTAGCTATTTATAATTCATTCAATTACGTAATCAAATATATTCTCTATAATGTCTATGATAATTACTAGAATAAATGTCAAAATTACAAGTAAATTCATAGATATATCATGCTAAAAAATAGGATTGACTAAAAAATAGGGTAGGTATAATTTAAAAAATCAAAAAAAAGTTAAAATATATATAAATAATCTTACAAAAAAAAAATTGTGAGGGTGGGTATGTGCCCCTTGGGCATAAGATGGCTCTGCCCTTGGCTTGAGGAATGTTTACTGTAATGTAACCTATATAAAATATTGTTTTTTGAATAGTTTTTAATTGGTTAGAAGTAATTTTGCTAGTCTACATATGTTATTCGTTAGTTCGGATTAAAAAGGAAAAAGGAAAAAAAGTCTACATATGTGTGGTTCTAATAGTTCACAGGATTGGAAATACATTGTATTAATCTTGGATGGCAAAGAAATAATTGATTTATGAGTGCAAATGTTTGGTGAAGCTATTAGGTTATACTTTCTAAGAAAAAAAGGGTAATATATCAAATCTTGGGTGGCTGGTTGGAATTTTTTGATTTTGTCCGAATGTGCACATTGAGCCGATCAAATATTTGCACGTTTTCATGTGATAATTGAAGAAAGATTGATGTGAAGTTTATTTTTTCACCCTATGTGTCAAAGCATTGTATTGAGATGTAATTAGATTTAACGCATGGATGTATCTTTTGTTGGCCGGCCTACAATTCCCCTTGTCTTATTAACAAGTTAATCTTACTTGTAGATGAAATACAACTGTGATATAGAATAAAACAAGGTAGATCGTCTACAATAAATTAATTTGTAGAGTTGAACCAATCTATTCCTATGACATATACATTTATATGGATATGTATGATTTCACACATGCACACTACTGTATACTATTAGTCTCAAACTTAAAAAATATATGACTGGCCACAATTTGTTTTTGTAGAATTATAAATTATCATGGATAGGAGCATCGACTCATACATAACATGCATAAAAATTCAGCTATGTTGCTATTGAAATTTTGAGTCATACAAAGAATGCTTTAGTAGTCAAGTTATTCAAAAGGATGTTACAAAAATTTTCACTAACGCACGTGGTGCATTGCTAAGTATGTATATAAGTCCGAAGGCTATCTGATTAGATCAGTGCTTAAGTCGTGGCATGTTAGTGCACATACTCTTCCTCTATGAACATGACTCATCTGTTCTGCCCCTTGTTAGGCGATATCTTTCCATGAACACCTCACAACTTAATGATGAAATTTGCTAGTTTTTGCCTCCAAACTGACAAGAAGAGAACATATAGTCAAAACCATTATTGCGTTACTTCATGTTCAAAATTTCAACACTTTTGCCCATTGGGTCGTTCTAGGATGAATGTGCCAAATAAAAAATGGATAGAGACAGGGAGAGGAAATGAAAAAGGATGAAAGCATTTAATTGTTTCATTATGTGTCCATAAATATTAAATATACAATAATTTTCCCTGACTGCCATTTATTAGTTACCCTTAAAAAATGTCTGTTACCTCTGATCTTAGGAAACAATCTTATTACTGATAATTGGATAAGGCCCTACCAGTAAAGCCACATGTGATATTTAAAGTTTAGGTTCCACTTGTTGAGTTGTTATTCCTATGTAGCTTTATGTTATTGGGTTTCTGCCACATTGTTGATATTTATCACCTCATTGGTGCTCTATGAACATAGTGTGCACTTACCTTGACTGATAACATTTTTGTGATATCGGGCATCGCTCCATCTATCATTCAATCACAGGCCGCTTTGTCATTGTATGAATTTTGATTGTCGAATCACACTCGATATTATGTATCTACTTATCATATTTTTGCCCGTACATGGTAAATTTTTTTTGTTCAGGCCTCTGCTCAGTAATTCCGTAGCAGGTTTAGTTCACTGCCTGTTATGCAAACTCCATGTTCTTAAGTGTCACATAATATCATGGAACTGAGTTACCAGTTTTACCAAAGAAAGGACAAGAACAGGACCGAGTTGCCAGTTATTTATGCTTTGAGCCGTTTCTGAGGTCGTGATTCCTGTTTGAAATATCTAGCATCAAATAGCTTTGTGTGAAATACAGTCAGGATGTATTAGTTTAGCAATAGTGTGTAATTTGTAGGTTTCTGATTTAAGAAAAACAATACGGGGCAATCTCTTGTGTGCTATTAAGATTAATCTCTACGTACAATTATACATTGGAAACTTTCCTTATTGTTGCATGTCCAAAACTGTGGGGTCTTTGCATTACAAGGATATGAGGTCATTTTGCACACCCTATATTCCTTATTTCCTCTAGCTTGATTGTATATCAGTTTGCCATACGTTTCTAAAATTCTTGACTTGTAAAATATACTGTTTTCAGGGGTATATGGTTCGAAATCCGATATTTTTGATGTCACAAAGCATTTAGGTGATTTGTCGTTGAATGAGCTCCTTGATGGCACTTACAAGTGTCCTAGTTTTGTGAAAGAGAAGGGAAAGAAAGCAGCCAATTTAACTGAAAATTTACTGCATTCAGTCACAAAGGCTTGCTCTGTTCTTCAACTACGAAAGCCTGGGCAGCCCCAGAATTGTGTGGAGGAGGAAAATAGTTACAGCCGGAAGGTTTCTTCTGCTTGTCTAATGAGCTCTGGTTCTTCTTTAGCAAGCAGAACTGATGGTGATAAAGGAGATACCAATGCTACAGATCTGTCCTCATGTAACAAGGTTAGTATGAAGAGGAATCTAAAATGCAGAATGTTAGATTGTTGAGGGAGGATCTACAGAGGCATATAATGGTATTTAGTTATTGTCATCTAAGATGCTGGCATAATGATTGGAATCAAATCATTCCTCACTCCAATCAAATTTCTCTCTCTTGTCTCTCTCTCTCTCTCTCTCTCTCACTTGACTTGACTTGACTTTGATATTTGGAAATATTGGAATTGCTTTAACCCCTGCAGTGGTGTTGAGTATACTACTTTCTTCTCCCCGATCCCTGCTTTGTAAATCCATGTGAACTTTAAAGTTACATGGAAATAGCAGGGTAGGAAGTCAAAAAAACCTTGTACCAAGGGACTATCTGGCATGTGTAGCTTTTACTTCCCCCACGCCCCCCAACACACACACACTCACACAACCCCCCAACATTCACCATCTAATTTGATGCCATGGCATTCAACCTTCTTTAGGTTTTGCAGAAGGATAACCCAATATTTGATCAGGAATGCAACGGTCGTCTCTTTTATACATTTATTAATTCTTCTGTTTTCTCTTATCTTGTTATTAAAGGATCAGGATTCTTGTATCAATCCGAATTCCCATTCCAATATGCTCAATTTTCAGTTGTATTCACCTAAAGAGATTTTGGAGCGCCTTGAACTTCCTCCACCCAAGGATTTGGACTCTTTGCTCCTGGACGCAGCAAAGCCTGTTTTATCTTCAAGGAATAATACAGATCCACGCACAGGCAAGACTGTGTCTCACCGAACTGGCTTGCCACCTTTTCCTTGGTCGCATACTGCTGGCAGCCATTGTAAATCTTATTCAGATGCTGGAAAATTATCATCAAGTCGGAGCACATGCCAAGGTAGATGGGTGAAAGTAAGGAACACTCTTAATTATATTGGGGACAAGCCTGGTTTCGTTGCAAACTTGGAATCAATCACTTACAATCAGAGTCTAGTTCCTTCAAGAGGTCTGACAGCTGGAGCTTCAGAAGTAGAAAATGCCCAATCCAATAGCTTGATCTCCTGTGAAAGGGGTCTATCATCTTCTGCAACATGCGCAACTTCCCTGGCTCCTTCAGGTAAATTCTTTAGTGGCTATTTCCATGAGAAGGAACTATCCTTCAAAATTTATATCTTTCACCTATATGCTTATATTCTTTTGATCTTCATCTCAAGGGGGCTTAATCTAGGTCATGGTACTAAAACCATTTATATTTAGATTGTTAGCCTTGCTTTTATGTACTTACAATCAGAAACAATGTGGGTACACATGTGTTCGCTTGTGTATACTTGTAGTATTTAGATGTATCCTTGTTGCATCCTCGTTTTTACTTACTCCGACTCCCTCCATGTCTTTGTGCACTGCACATTCAAGCCATGGAGATGCAAAACAGAAGAGAATTGGACATACAAGAAATTAAAATCAGAACTATGTGAACAGAGGAATGACCATTATCATTTGTTGAAAAGATGCAGTGGCTGGCAACTTTGATAGATACCATATGACTATTGTCAAAAACAAACTCTACACTTATCTGGAAAAACAAGAGAGAGAGTAATTTTGGGTTGGTAAAACTAACACCTGGCCAGCTTAGTTTAAACTGCATCGGAAGTTTCTCCCTCCGTTTAGTTGTATTATTCAGTGTGTTCATGCTACCTCATTTACGTCATGTTTGATTAGCTGAGTATATGTAGTAGCTCACACATCAACATAAGAATTAAGATTGAGATCCATCACTATCACTATTCCGTAAGACTAAGAATTATGTTTTTGGTTTGAAGGTTTCATCAAATTAAACCTGTCCAGGTGCTTTTCTCCTTATCATCTCTTAATTATTGACGGTGACAGCTAGGCATTCTCCAAGTCTAGTAGCTGCTGCTCAGACTCTGTGTGAGATTGCAGCCCGTTCCTCGAAGCAAAATCCACATGGAGTGATGAATTGGCAGAAGAAACCTTCCCAAAAGGTCATGAAAGCTTGCACGTCGAGATCAAATGACAAATCTGAAAAAATATTTGCAGTACCAAAATCTACAATGGGACTTGACAAACTGGTCCAAATTGCAGATGGTGTCCTTCCGTCAAAGAAGCCTAGGCTCTCTGGGAATGAGAAGAGTGATGAATTTGGTCATACCAATACTGCAAAGAAAAGGCCAATAAATTGGTCTACTCCCAGATCAAGTAGAACATCTCCCAGCAAATCGCTCAAGGACACAATTGGAGAAACAAAACATTCTAATTCCAACATTGTAAAGAAACCATATACGATGCCACCATCGACAAGAGTCTTGGACACGGCTGGTAATAACAGCCAGCAGAAACTGAGGAAATTGATGCCCACACATTGGAATAGTAGGCCAGGCAGCAAGCTGGATTGTTGATCAATATGGTTGCGAAAACGGACTTCTTGTACGTTCATTTAATTGCCATTGAGATTATGCGAAAATTCGTAGTTATCTATGTATGTACATATTTGTGTTACAAGTAGGACAAGGAATTGTTTTTAGGGTTCATATCAGGTTAGGGGGAACAGGTTTCTCATGTTGTAAGGATATTTGTAAAATGGGTGTCGAAGCACACCAGGGAATTATTTGCCTTGTGAATATCATTGAGTAGAAAAAACTCTCTCTCTCTCTCTCTCTCTCTCTCACACACACACACACACAGAGGTGTGTTCTGGCATCCATCTGGTTCAACCTGCCTACCCCTCAGTTTATTGAGAGTATATTTGAAGCTGATGTGAAAAACGGATCTAAAATCAAATGTGATAAGAATTTTTTTTTATAACCAAACGTTTTGAGTATATGTTCATTAGACTCACTCGTGATGTAAATTCAAGATGTGTGCAATTATTTTTAAATTAAGCTCATTGAATCAACAAAAAACATCTCTTTAAAGGCTCTCATACTTAACAAACTTTGAAATATTAACCACTGAACCAAATTAATTAATCTTTTTTCCCTTTCCTGGTAAACAACATATTGCGATTAAATTAGGTGGAAACTTTTCTCCACATTCTTTCTGGTGATTCAGGAATTTGTCCATGATTTTTTCAATTTATACAATACGTTTAAAGATCGAGGTTGGCGATCATGTTAAAACAAAGTTTTTTTTTTTGTATTTTGAGTTGTCTTCCTGTTAAACAAGAGTTTTCCAAGCTAAAGCAACTAGTTTATGCTTGAGATGTGTTACGTCTCTTCGATATCTCTCACAAGCTAAGATTTCTTAGCAACAACCTTTTGCTTATGAGAAATGTTATGTTGCTTAAATCAAAACTCAAATTTTGTATCTCAAATATATATGTACCACACATTGAAGGAAAAAACTAATTTTTGGGGACCGACAAAGTGATATACGTGGTGGTGCACATGTATTTGGAATATAAAATTTGCGTTTTAATATGGGCTGCAACGGTTTTTTAATCATTAAAAAGCTCACTTTAGGAATTACGAAAATTGATTTTGTCTCCTCATTAACTTTTTTGCTAACAAAGTTTTGTTACGTTAAGACACAGACACAGCTCAGCAACACCAACACCAACGTTGGCCTAGTGAACATCACCATGAGGAAAAATGAAAAAAAGACTTGATATTATAAACTCATGTAAACATTTGATCAAGTAGCAAAACAATCCCCATGGCAAACCCAAGATCGAATCCTGGTTGTACGATCAAAAGAAACACCTCTAACCCGAAAGTAACGCCGCCGATCATGGCTTCTTTCTTCTTGATCTCCGCCATCACCCTCCTTGATTCATCCAACAACTTGCATGATCGATGTGCATATGATCCTTCAATCACGTAGGCATATCTCTTTTCTGATGGCCCATGATAAACATATGCGAGTACATTGAGATTGGGTTGTAGGATATTAATGTGTTTCCTCACACAGCATATTGGCTTCTTTGATGACTTTGTACCAGTGTCGTCTCCAACTTCTCCTTCATAGACAAGCCAGTTATCTACCAGCCTTAGCTTCTGTTCATCAAATTGATGAGAAAAATCAAGGAGCAAACTCAATTAATTTAGACACGACATAAATTCGGTTAAACACGACTAAAAGGACATGACTCATGGGCAAGGCAATATTACCTTGCGACGGCATACTGTAAGGATGGGTTTCCCTGAACCATCCATGAGAGTGACATCATTTGACCGTCCGGTGTAATTATCAACTCTGAAGACTAGATTTCCACCGGAGCCGATCACCGTGAAACCGTGACAGCTAAAAAGGAGAGATTTTCTCCATACCGTCAGTGATATGCTTGGGCTGTCACTCTCGCTCTTGTACTCCTGCTCATCATGGACTTCATGGACTGTTCTTGATAAAGATTTCAAGAAGAGAAGCATATCTCTCTCTCTCTCTGTGCAATCTTTTTGAAAGTACAGCAAGTCATCGTAGTAATGAGATATTTATATAGGGCTAAGAAAAAAGTTATAACTTGATTGCCGTAAGGGTGACACTGGAAAAACTCTTAATGCGACTAGTCAATCGCAACATAAAACATATGGGTTTGAACACCGTCGTTGTCAAGACGGATTTGTTCCTTCTGATTTTTCTGATCACAACATGGCATGTCGTTCATCGCCAAATAAATTAATTCGAACACCTAATTATTGAACCAAAAAAAAATAAAAATTTATAGTATGAGTTACACATTTTTCAAAATATTGTGACAAATAAAATGATTTGCAAAACTCATTTTATTTAAATGGATTGACATGACTCACAACCCTAATAAGTATATGATTGCGAACCAACTAATCATAATTATATTTGATATGAATTCGATCTTATTAATTTATTTTATGCACGATTATGGATGGGCCAAATATATATAGATTGAGTAAAATTTAATTCAACATAATTGGCATAACTTCTAAACACGACAACAACCATAAAAACAAACATATGCGACACGTATCATATATGCAGGGGCAAAGTCGAGAATTTTTATTAGGGTGAGCACTTTAATTATATACTATAATTTTTTTTTCCCTTAACCAATTACAATAAAATGATACATTTGTTTTTATCATATCCTATTTAATAAATGAAGTTCGTTCAATAAGGGCAAAAAATAATGTATATTATGTATGTATATAAAAATGACCAAGTATCAACATTGTAAAAATGTGAAGTTAATTGTTGTTGTATAATTAAAAAACTACCGGTTATCGATTGACCATCTATTATATTTATTTCTTAAACATTTTTTCAAATATTATCACTAAGATATTATAATAGTAAAGCCACTAAACTAAAATTTAAGAACCAAACATAGTAAAAATTTTAAATTGCAATTGACATGTAATAAACACTACAATCAATTTTCAAAAAAAAATTAAAGACAAGTTCCAGCAAAAAAATAAAAGCAAATTGAAGGTCAATTATAAATATTTTTACTTTTAAATTAACAAAAAAAAATTAAAAATTCATAAATAGGAATATAAAGATCACCTATAGAACACCTTAATATAATAAAAACGACTAATTAATTAAAGTAACAAAGTTTTAGAGTGGGCACAAATAAAAAACGTATTTGTAGAACTTTTAAAATATATAAATATAGACATACATATTTTTTTTTAAAAAAATTGAGGGAAAATGAAAGAAAATTGACTAGCAATTGCTCATTTTCTTATTTCTCTTTTTATTTTTTGGAGGTGAAGGAGAAAAGAGATTTGAACCCTTAACCTCAATAAAACAAAATTTTTACAAGAGAAAGAGTACCATTAGAGTAAAAATTCATTAAATTAAATACTAATAATAACATACAGAACATATATTCGAATGCAATCCTCCCGTTCAATTCATGTAACAATTAGAATATCATTAGGTCCTGAATTTTACGACGCTGTGCCCGCCCTAAACCCTATAAAGCTCCGAGAGTGATATATATATAACATCAATAATGTAGTCGTTGCTCGGGGCTGAGACTGAGAATTTTATGCATGCCTACCTAAATTCTAAAAAGAGACAACCATACCTAACTGGACATGGCTAATCTTCTAGAGGTCTTATTTCATATTTGGATTACTCTTCAATTCTATACGACAATTATTATTGTTCTTTCAAATAAGTGTGTGCGCACTTACATCGATGTGGTCGAGATTCCATTTCCCTTGTCCTTCTTATGGTTTAATTTTTTTGGGAAAACTTTGATACTTAATATCCTGTTTGATAGAAAAAATGAAAAGTAGAAAAAATACATTTTTTTTTTGTGTTTGGTTGAATAAATGGAATATAAAAATGACTAAATTTTTATTTTTATTTTTTGTGTTAGTTAAGATTAGGGATAACAATCGAGTCGTGTCGTGTTAAATTCGTATTGAGTCATTACGGATTTATGTTGAATATTAGTCGCACTTAATTTAACTCATTTAACTAATTGTGTCATATTGAGTTGCGAATTGACCTGTTTATTTTGAGTTTGATCAATTGAACTGATTATGAGTCTTTTATATTTCTTGTTTGCATATCAGGTCATTTTTAAGTTCGTGTCATAATATTTATGTCAAATTCGAGTCGTGTCATCGTGTTGAGTCGAAAGTTTTTACCTCAAGTTAAAATGGAAAAAATATTGTTTTTTAATTTAAATTTTTAATTTTATTTTTTTATTGTTTATTTTTTATTTTATTTTTAAAATATATAAATACATATGTTATCATCGTATTTTTATATGAAATTAATGTATACATAATATATGTATATATTAAAAGATATATAGATAAATAAGATAAATCTCAACACAAACAATTAACTTTTTATCCATTTTCTTTCCGATTTTGGAGGAATTGATTTTGGTGACTTGGAAGGAAAGTTAATCCATCTACTTTTTCATCCTTCCTATTTTTTTTTTTTCAAACATGATTTTTTATTTATCCCTCTAACTTTTCATCCTACCATTTTTCCATCGTACCAAATAAAACATAGTGTTCTGTTTGATAGAAATAATAAAAAGTAGGAGGGATACACTTTCTATCTTTCGAGAATAGAAAATAGGAATGATATACTTTCTTTTCTTTATGTGTGGTTGGATGGATGAAAAATAAAAATGACTAATTTTTTTAATTTTTTTTTGTCTAATATTAAGGGTGATAATCGAGTCGTGTCGTGTCAGATTTATGTTGAGTCATAAAATTATAAGTTTTTTATATTTCTTATTCGAATGTCAGATCATTTTCAAGTTCATGTCGAGTTATAATCAAGTTCGTGTCATAAATTTCGTGTCGAGTTCGAGCCATGTCATCGTCTTGAATCGAAAATTTTCAACCCTATATATATACATATTTTATCTTGGTATTTTTATATAAAATTAATGTATATATAATATATAGACAAATATAATATATCTTAATACAAATAATTAATTTTTCATCCACTTTTTTTCCTATTTTGGAAGAATTGATTTTGGTGAGTTAGAAGGAAAGTTAATTCATAAACTTTTTTATCCTTTTTTTTTTCTTACTAAACATAATATTTTATTTATCCCTCTAACTTTATATTTTTATGTTTTTTCATCATATCAAACAGAACATAAGTTTACGTTCTTATGGCGAATAGATCAAAGGCAAAACAGACGAACAAAAGGCCATATATCTGGAAACAAGGCGAAGTCCAAGAGAGCTGCCCACAGTACTGTTCATTATTTCACAAACAAAACTAGGGATAAAAACTGACCATAATTCTTCCAGGTTCCTTGAAATGAACGGCATTAGGGTGATAATCACGTTGGGTTTGGTCGTGTGTTCGTGTCGTGTTCATGGGCCAAGTTAGGCCCGTGAATTTTTCCAGGTCGAGGAGAGTATGGTAAACCCAAGTCCTTACTTGAACGAGTTATCGGGTGGGATGTGACGGGCTTCGTATAGGGATGGACTATTAGCAATCTAACTTGTCATTTACTGGACGAGCCTTTTTATATACGTATATAATTTCATTTTAAAAGTTTTTAACTTAATATTTTTATAAATTATATTTTTAAATTAAAAATAGAGTCAAAATAGACAAAAAAATAAAAATAAATAATAAATAAATTTATTTATGAATAGAGGAAGAACCTAACTTTTTTTTTTTTTTTTTTTAATTAAGTGCTAAGTGTTAACGAGAGTTATGTCATATATAAGTTCGTGTTTAGAAATGATCAACTTTAATTTACTAATTTCATATTGTGTTTTCGTATTTTATCAAAAATTGTCATCCTACTTAAACACCCATTTTGTTACGTGAAAGGTGTAAAATAGAGCTTCCAATCAAAAAAGAGAGTCAGGGTTGATCAAATAGTTAGAGTAGACCCGTTTAATTATAGCACAAATGTTGAAGATGTCTGTGGTAGTCTCATTTGAATGTGTGTACGTACAACGTTGTATAAAGACATAAAGTCACAAAAGAAGAGATGCAAAAACTGGGAAGTGCCATAAAAATCTTACCACGGGGCTGCTCTTATTACATGTTGATGAGAGGACTGTGTTTTCCATTTGACTTCTTTTGTGAGGTCTCACAGTCCACGCCGTTGGTCTTGTGGAGCATATGGACCCTTGTATTAGGAGTTAATATTATTGTTGTACAATGATTTCATATGGGTCAAGCAATTCTAGAGAGAGACTTGTGAGTTCGATGTGAAATCAGCACGTATTAACGGGTTCTAATTTAATATTAGAGAATTTGAATAATAAAAAGATAGACCCATTAGACCCATCACACACACACACATATATATATATATATAATAAACATGATTGACAAATAATACGAACCCATACTATGCGAACTCAATTAAATAATATATGACTTCTCAGGCTCCCACTGGAAAGATCTTTGAAAATTTTTGTTTTTAAAGAGATATTTCAGGTGATATGTGGTGCTAAGGAATGGAACCCATTCAATGTCCGCACAATTTAATTGAATTCCTTAATAAATATTCAGACCACGAGTCTTGAGTCATATGCTCTTTCAATACGACTCTTTCTCTGTGGTCTAGAGAGAGACAAGAAGAAGAGAGAGAGAGGCATAGGGACCTCAGAAAATATATTCGGTGGGCGGGTTAACAACCAAATTAAGCAAGCAATGAACAGTAGGATCTATGAATGTGTCAATTTTGAGTATATTATTCATACAAAGGGGACATTAATTACCATACTACTGTAATTACAATAAGGGTTAGCATTAAATAGCTCGATAAGTTTGTCTAAAAATAGTTCATTTTTTTGGAAATTTTTTAGATTCATGATTTTTCGTTGATTAACATTTGAGAAGAGAAAAGATAATCAATAGATAACCTATCAGAGTAACTCAAATGAATAAATGTTAAGCGGTTTTATCTCGAATCTCAAGTTTAATTTCGGTAAGAGAGCTGTCATTTATT